CTCGTCAGCACACAAAGTCAACTCCGGGAATTCAGTGTCAACAGTCTAGGCAAATCAAAATAATGTCACCAATATATCACTGACTTACCACACAAATGCACCAAATTTGTCACCACCTCACCACAAGTATTTCGGAAAATTTGACATCATTTACTTGTCGACTGGAAAAAGCCAGGCTCAAACGACAACCAAAATCAAGCGCTGCTCATCTAGTCACACGCCTTCACCTTTTCTCCTCATACAGCCATTATCACCACTGACTAGTAATCACATTCAAAAAAGACCAAGAGAATCTCCCCGACTGACTAGCTGAAACACCAGCGAACCACCACCACAAGTCGTCAGATCAATCACTCGACTTGTAACAGGTATCCGGGATAACCACATCCCGTCCACTTACACTCTCCGAGTCACACAAAGACTATGCGAGAGAGAAAATCAGCACCCACCGAAATAACCCACTGAACTCTCACACTCCACACACGCACAAATAACCTCCCTGACCCTCATCCATCAAGACACTTAGTCCCACACACCCTCACTCTCCAGATCACACTACAAGCCAACACACTACTTATAAATCCTCACAACACGAAATTCGCTCACATTATCCCATCTCAGACTAACACGTAAATCAATCCCTCACATGACAAAAGTCTATCGTCTAGTTAGTCCGCACAGACAACCCTTTCCTAACACTGAAATGCGACACACGCCTAGACACAACATATCTCATCGGAAAAAAAACCACTACTCACACAATATCAGTCACAGTCTTAGTGACCATACAATAGCCCAACACACAACTCACGCTCCAATCACTTCTCAGACAAATCCATTCCGAGCACGATAAACCCCCTACACGTTTAGTCGACCGAATTCAACGACGATCCAATTGAACTGACGACGGCTGTTTCTATACCCTTCACCTTACTGTCTCTTACACCCTACAATCTTTATTCACATATAGGCAAACTAAACTGTCACAAAGTCAACACTAACATGGATAGCCTCGACTATTAGCCCCATAAACAACAACAACAACAACAATTTAAAACTGCTTTCGTTCCAAATAATATCTATATTTCACATTGCTTTATACATAGTCTGACTAAACATTGTTTATCACAAGCATCATCATACTTTTTCCTCCTTTATACTCCTCCTCCACACAGACTGACAGAATGGAGTGGCACTATCAACTCGTAGGAACCATTCCAACTTACAAGGCGCCAAACGGAAAGCCCCATCCGTCCACATACACCCTCAGCGTCACGAGAACAACAACTCCAAAATAACATGTTCCAACCCAACTAGGAAACAATGCAAAACAAAACTCAATAAATATTTAGCAACAAGACTTGTCGTTCTGACCATAGCATTGAAATGTAGCTAAACTACTAACAACACAAAACAGTGGGAATTCCTATCAGACTAATAGTACATATCAATCAAACTTCATATGACACGCAATCAGTTCATCATAAATGGCATTTCGAATATCCATGCTTACCCAGAGTGTGCACTGGTGACGTCTGAAACAAAAACAGGCAGAAAAACCAATTTAGACAAGAAGTCAGTGTGAAACACGAATCACTAGCTCATAAGAGGTGTCATACACTCATCACGTAGCACATACTCAATAAGACAAAAACAATAAAAACTACAATTTCTCCTGATAGAAAACTAACCTCTTCATAGCTCCATTTTCAGCCACAGTCACACAAAACTCCTCGTCAGCACACAAAGTCAACTCCAGGAATTCAGTGTCAACAGTCTAGGCAAATCAAAATAATGTCACCAATATATCACTGACTTACCACACAAATGCACCAAATTTGTCACCACCTCACCACAAGTATTTCGGAAAATTTGACATCATTTACTTGTCGACTGGAAAAAGCCAGGCTCAAACGACAACCAAAATCAAGCGCTGCTCACCTAGTCACACGCCTTCACCTTTTCTCCTCATACAGCCATTATCACCACTGACTAGTAATCACATTCAAAAAAGACCAAGAGAATCTCCCCGACTGACTAGCTGAAACACCAGCGAACCACCACCACAAGTCGTCAGATCAATCACTCGACTTGTAACAGGTATCCGGGATAACCACATCCCGTCCACTTACACTCTCCGAGTCACACAAAGACTATGCGAGAGAGAAAATCAGCACCCACCGAAATAACCCACTGAACTCTCACACTCCACACACGCACAAATAACCTCCCTGACCCTCATCCATCAAGACACTTAGGCCCACACACCCTCACTCTCCAGATCACACTACAAGCCAACACACTACTTATAAATCCTCACAACACGAAATTCGCTCACATTATCCCATCTCAGACTAACACGTAAATCAATCCCTCACATGACAAAAGTCTATCGTCTAGTTAGTCCGCACAGACAACCCTTTCCTAACACTGAAATGCGACACACGCCTAGACACAACATATCTCATCGGAAAAAAAACCACTACTCACACAATATCAGTCACAGTCTTAGTGACCATACAATAGCCCAACACACAACTCACGCTCCAATCACTTCTCAGACAAATCCATTCCGAGCACGATAAACCCCCTACACGTTTAGTCGACCGAATTCAACGACGATCCAATTGAACTGACGACGGCTGTTTCTATACCCTTCACCTCACTGTCTCTTACACCCTACAATCTTTATTCACATATAGGCAAACTAAACTGTCACAAAGTCAACACTAACATGGATAGCCTCGACTATTAGCCCCATAAACAACAACAACAACAACAATTTAAAACTGCTTTCGTTCCAAATAATATCTATATTTCACATTGCTTTATACATAGTCTGACTAAACATTGTTTATCACAAGCATCATCATACTTTTTCCTCCTTTATACTCCTCCTCCACACAGACTGACAGAATGGAGTGGCACTATCAACTCGTAGGAACCATTCCAACTTACAAGGCGCCAAACGGAAAGCCCCATCCGTCCACATACACCCTCAGCGTCACGAGAACAACAACTCCAAAATAACATGTTCCAACCCAACTAGGAAACAATGCAAAACAAAACTCAATAAATATTTAGCAACAAGACTTGTCGTTCTGACCATAGCATTGAAATGTAGCTAAACTACTAACAACACAAAACAGTGGGAATTCCTATCAGACTAATAGTACATATCAATCAAACTTCATATGACACGCAATCAGTTCATCATAAATGGCATTTCGAATATCCATGCTTACCCAGAGTGTGCACTGGTGACGTCTGAAACAAAAACAGGCAGAAAAACCAATTTAGACAAGAAGTCAGTGTGAAACACGAATCACTAGCTCATAAGAGGTGTCATACACTCATCACGTAGCACATACTCAATAAGACAAAAACAATAAAAACTACAATTTCTCCTGATAGAAAACTAACCTCTTCATAGCTCCATTTTCAGCCACAGTCACACAAAACTCCTCGTCAGCACACAAAGTCAACTCCGGGAATTCAGTGTCAACAGTCTAGGCAAATCAAAATAATGTCACCAATATATCACTGACTTACCACACAAATGCACCAAATTTGTCACCACCTCACCACAAGTATTTCGGAAAATTTGACATCATTTACTTGTCGACTGGAAAAAGCCAGGCTCAAACGACAACCAAAATCAAGCGCTGCTCACCTAGTCACACGCCTTCACCTTTTCTCCTCATACAGCCATTATCACCACTGACTAGTAATCACATTCAAAAAAGACCAAGAGAATCTCCCCGACTGACTAGCTGAAACACCAGCGAACCACCACCACAAGTCGTCAGATCAATCACTCGACTTGTAACAGGTATCCGGGATAACCACATCCCGTCCACTTACACTCTCCGAGTCACACAAAGACTATGCGAGAGAGAAAATCAGCACCCACCGAAATAACCCACTGAACTCTCACACTCCACACACGCACAAATAACCTCCCTGACCCTCATCCATCAAGACACTTAGTCCCACACACCCTCACTCTCCAGATCACACTACAAGCCAACACACTACTTATAAATCCTCACAACACGAAATTCGCTCACATTATCCCATCTCAGACTAACACGTAAATCAATCCCTCACATGACAAAAGTCTATCGTCTAGTTAGTCCGCACAGACAACCCTTTCCTAACACTGAAATGCGACACACGCCTAGACACAACATATCTCATCGAAAAAAAACCACTACTCACACAATATCAGTCACAGTCTTAGTGACCATACAATAGCCCAACACACAACTCACGCTCCAATCACTTCTCAGACAAATCCATTCCGAGCACGATAAACCCCCTACACGTTTAGTCGACCGAATTCAACGACGATCCAATTGAACTGATAACGGCTGCTTCTGAGTCGCCTGTCTAAGCTGTTCTGAGACTTATTTCTCATCGCATATGTTTACTCGATTTTCGAAGCGACCTAGACGATCTTGATTGATTCAGGTTATTCGTTGCGTCTGGTATCCAAGAAACACGGCTTAGTCCCATAGCACAACAACGCGGACATAGGATAAATTATTTTGACGTGTAAACTGAGTACGTTTCGGGCACAATTTATCCTATGTCCGTGTTCTTGTGCTATGGGACTAAGCCGTGTTTCTTGGATACCAGACGCAACGAATAACCTGAATCAATCCAGATCGTCTAGTTGGAATGCATAGACAAACTACAAGACCTTTAGTGACACAAATGGATCCTCAAAAATCTATTCGCAGTGGCACAGAAGCACAAACATTTTTGCAAATCGATATTGCGTTGCCTCACTCTAGTCTTCATACCTCGTTTATTCCTTGACTGTGCAGTCTCTAGTCGTATCGACTTCTTAGTCGTCAATGTTAACAACTAAAACCTCATTTGGTGTGGGGTTTGTAACCCAGCCTCGCATGCACTCACAGATCACGCCCCCCTGATTCTAGCTTTCTCCATCCTCACACTAGACACCTCATCATCAGGAAAGCATGAGACCAACTCCGTTCTCAAAGAATTTATTTGTTAACAGCACATTACAGTTCTTTGACAGTGAGATCTAAACGGAAATTCAGGATTAACTAATAATCAATTATAATTACTTGGGGGTAGTGAACGTTTAATCTTTCCAACTTTTTCCTTTTCAACTACGACGAGGGTGTATAAAAATCGGCTGCATCGAATTTTGAATTTGACGTTGTCCTTATTCTCTTTGATTTTAACAGCTGCATAAGTTACAATTATCATCACTTTTGAGTAACTTACATTTGGCGTCCGCCCTCTGTGTCATGTGCAGGAACTCTTTTATGTTGTCCACTTGTCGAGGCATCTTGAGCTGAAATAAAAGTCAAAGAATACAAGTTATTACGTAAATTCATTAGCGCTCCAAGCGGCTTCTCTGACCACGATAATGACTTCGAGAGGTTCCATTGGGACCTCGGTTGAGGCCCAGTTCGAATATCCTCATGTACGTTAGAAATCCCGTAGCCGTAAAACACGTTAATATGGCTCTTTATCATCTCCAATTTTTCATCTGACACTGGTGGGTCGCGAGTTGACAACAAAGCAACAACTAATTCCTCAAACTTATCACACACACAATTCAGAACATGGTTAAACGCTAACCTCCAGTCAATCACTAATTTGTCTACATAATCGCACAGAATAGTCCCACCAGACTTGTGACTGATTGCCTTCACCCAACCGACACACCAACTCAATCGAATGTCCATGAACGAGGAGTCATCATCTTCAAGACCCAATATAAATTGCATCACCAGCTCATTGAGAAGTTTGTAGGACTGGAGGAAACTGAGCAGAGGTTTTAAATTCTTGGCTTGGATTTCGACAATATCGCCCAATGCACACCCACTTGCTAGCAAATCACATCCATGGTAACATACGTGATCAGTGACATACAGTAAACACAACGGAGACAATCGACTAGTGAAGGCTTCTATGAGGTCTGATTGCATAGCTATCTCCTCCCCCTGCAACAATCTCTCCAAATAGCTGCAGATCATTGAGCTGTAACTCTTCAACATATTTCCCAACTCGATCATTCTCTCTTCATGGTACTTCACATTCAACATCCAGAAATCCCCTAAATACCTCAAAGACCACCAAAACGCACTCTCTAATACATCAGTTGATGGCATTGTTCCATGTGCTACGTCATTGCGGAGATCAGCCAACCAGCTTGGTAGGCCGGCCTTGCGTGCAAGTGACAAAATTGGGAGTGCAAAACTTGGTCTCTCACGATCTTGAGACTCACTGGACACTAACGATACGAACCTCATAAGAGCTAAAGCCATACTTTGACTTGAACGCTCAAGGTAGCCATTCAGAAGTTCATAAGTACAAACTATGGATCTAGGTATTTTTGACGCCGGCATTCGACACAACCATACTTCTATAGCCTTACGAGCCATATCCAATTCACAGACCTCCATTGATGATACATGTCTGGCGACATTACTAAATTCATTGGCGTCAATCCAAGGCACTATTCGCTTGTCATCACTCATAATATGGTACCAACCGAAAACTCTACACCCAAAACAAACGTGCAACAACTCACGCAGCTCGCGGTCAAAAGTGTGCTTTGACCTTGTTGAAACAAAGACACAGTGCCAAACAAACGGCCTGTTAAGTGTGTTCACTGGAGTCCGTGATTTAAAACTTATATGGAGTGTCGATGAAAAACTATCTTAGTTGCTCTCCCTTCCACGGCTTTCGGTTAAATTCCTTAACCGCCATGTTATTACCTGATTCACTTCAACTTGCCTGGAAATCTCTCCAACGTTAACAAACTTGATAGTCTCCCTCGGATAATTGCATTTGTCACTACCGATTGGCGGACACTTGTTGGAAGTCTGAGCTCGTGCTTATCGCTTTTCTTTCCAGTAATCTCTCCACACAACTGTCGATCATCATTTTTCAGATCTTGACTTTTTTCACTCTAAGCTGCTTCTATAGAACCTCATTCGTCCCGCGTGTTCGCTCACCATTCACCTAGTTTTGGCTCATCATCTTGCGCTTGTCAGCCTCTGATTCGTCTCAGCTTCTTCAACTTTGGTTTATATAATATGTATGTCATTCGGTGTCTCATGATTCTCATGCACGTGTACACCTGCACGACGGGCATGTGGTGAGGGCAGGCTAGCCAAAAATGGTAGACAGCATTTTACGTCAATTGGCATGTCGCAAATACTGGTGTTGAGAAAATATGAACAAGACTGATCCAACAACCAACCACAGCAGACTTGGCGTATAGATTATGTGGCATTCAAGAGACAGTCACAAAGAGATGCAAAGTCAACTTTCCGTAAGAAACAACCAATCAGAAGACTGTGTTTGTCTCCTTGAATAAGCTATAATAATGTACATGAAATATATATAAATACGTGTTGATTTCCCCAACGACGATCTGTAGTCTGACTCTTGCCCTTTCTCGTTACATGCATATATCTCCATGAATTCTGTAAACTAGTCACCTCTTTCATGGTTGTCAACAATTCACTTATTTTCCGGCTTCATTTACTGGGAGAATACCATGATGGTGATAATCAGTGTGTATATTTAAGTCAAACAAATTGTACTCACATAAAGTCTCAGCACCACGTAAAAACCGCTGCATTGTGCCCTATATCTCAAAATTAGAAAAACATAATTCATCCCCGGCGGGAGAGGTCAAATTGCTTCCCAACACGGTAAACCCCCTACACGTTTAGTCGACCGAATTCAACGACGATCCAATTGAACTGACGACGGCTGTTTCTATACCCTTCACCTTACTGTCTCTTACACCCTACAATCTTTATTCACATATAGGCAAACTAAACTGTCACAAAGTCAACACTAACATGGATAGCCTCGACTATTAGCCCCATAAACAACAACAACAACAACAATTTAAAACTGCTTTCGTTCCAAATAATATCTATATTTCACATTGCTTTATACATAGTCTGACTAAACATTGTTTATCACAAGCATCATCATACTTTTTCCTCCTTTATACTCCTCCTCCACACAGACTGACAGAATGGAGTGGCACTATCAACTCGTAGGAACCATTCCAACTTACAAGGCGCCAAACGGAAAGCCCCATCCGTCCACATACATCCTCAGCGTCACGAGAACAACAACTCCAAAATAACATGTTCCAACCCAACTAGGAAACAATGCAAAACAAAACTCAATAAATATTTAGCAACAAGACTTGTCGTTCTGACCATAGCATTGAAATGTAGCTAAACTACTAACAACACAAAACAGTGGGAATTCCTATCAGACTAATAGTACATATCAATCAAACTTCATATGACACGCAATCAGTTCATCATAAATGGCATTTCGAATATCCATGCTTACCCAGAGTGTGCACTGGTGACGTCTGAAACAAAAACAGGCAGAAAAACCAATTTAGACAAGAAGTCAGTGTGAAACACGAATCACTAGCTCATAAGAGGTGTCATACACTCATCACGTAGCACATACTCAATAAGACAAAAACAATAAAAACTACAATTTCTCCTGATAGAAAACTAACCTCTTCATAGCTCCATTTTCAGCCACAGTCACACAAAACTCCTCGTCAGCACACAAAGTCAACTCCGGGAATTCAGTGTCAACAGTCTAGGCAAATCAAAATAATGTCACCAATATATCACTGACTTACCACACAAATGCACCAAATTTGTCACCACCTCACCACAAGTATTTCGGAAAATTTGACATCATTTACTTGTCGACTGGAAAAAGCCAGGCTCAAACGACAACCAAAATCAAGCGCTGCTCACCTAGTCACACGCCTTCACCTTTTCTCCTCATACAGCCATTATCACCACTGACTAGTAATCACATTCAAAAAAGACCAAGAGAATCTCCCCGACTGACTAGCTGAAACACCAGCGAACCACCACCACAAGTCGTCAGATCAATCACTCGACTTGTAACAGGTATCCGGGATAACCACATCCCGTCCACTTACACTCTCCGAGTCACACAAAGACTATGCGAGAGAGAAAATCAGCACCCACCGAAATAACCCACTGAACTCTCACACTCCACACACGCACAAATAACCTCCCTGACCCTCATCCATCAAGACACTTAGTCCCACACACCCTCACTCTCCAGATCACACTACAAGCCAACACACTACTTATAAATCCTCACAACACGAAATTCGCTCACATTATCCCATCTCAGACTAACACGTAAATCAATCCCTCACATGACAAAAGTCTATCGTCTAGTTAGTCCGCACAGACAACCCTTTCCTAACACTGAAATGCGACACACGCCTAGACACAACATATCTCATCGAAAAAAAACCACTACTCACACAATATCAGTCACAGTCTTAGTGACCATACAATAGCCCAACACACAACTCACGCTCCAATCACTTCTCAGACAAATCCATTCCGAGCACGATAAACCCCCTACACGTTTAGTCGACCGAATTCAACGACGATCCAATTGAACTGATAACGGCTGCTTCTGAGTCGCCTGTCTAAGCTGTTCTGAGACTTATTTCTCATCGCATATGTTTACTCGATTTTCGAAGCGACCTGTTGGTACAGTTTACACATGCCGACGTGTAAACTGAGTACGTTTCGGGCACAGTTTATCCTATGTCCACGTTCTTGTGCTATGGGACTAAGCCGTGTTTCTTGGATACCAGACGCAACGAATAACCTGAATCAATCCAGATCGTCTAGTTGGAATGCATAGACAAACTACAAGACCTTTAGTGACACAAATGGATCCTCAAAAATCTATTCGCAGTGGCACAGAAGCACAAACATTTTTGCAAATCGATATTGCGTTGCCTCACTCTAGTCTTCATACCTCGTTTATTCCTTGACTGTGCAGTCTCTAGTCGTATCGACTTCTTAGTCGTCAATGTTAACAACTAAAACCTCATTTGGTGTGGGGTTTGTAACCCAGCCTCGCATGCACTCACAGATCACGCCCCCCTGATTCTAGCTTTCTCCATCCTCACACTAGACACCTCATCATCAGGAAAGCATGAGACCAACTCCGTTCTCAAAGAATTTATTTGTTAACAGCACATTACAGTTCTTTGACAGTGAGATCTAAACGGAAATTCAGGATTAACTAATAATCAATTATAATTACTTGGGGGTAGTGAACGTTTAATCTTTCCAACTTTTTCCTTTTCAACTACAACGAGGGTGTATAAAAATCGGCTGCATCGAATTTTGAATTTGACGTTGTCCTTATTCTCTTTGATTTTAACAGCTGCATAAGTTACAATTATCATCACTTTTGAGTAACTTACATTTGGCGTCCGCCCTCTGTGTCATGTGCAGGAACTCTTTTATGTTGTCCACTTGTCGAGGCATCTTGAGCTGAAATAAAAGTCAAAGAATACAAGTTATTACGTAAATTCATTAGCGCTCCAAGCGGCTTCTCTGACCACGATAATGACTTCGAGAGGTTCCATTGGGACCTCGGTTGAGGCCCAGTTCGAATATCCTCATGTACGTTAGAAATCCCGTAGCCGTAAAACACGTTAATATGGCTCTTTATCATCTCCAATTTTTCATCTGACACTGGTGGGTCGCGAGTTGACAACAAAGCAACAACTAATTCCTCAAACTTATCACACACACAATTCAGAACATGGTTAAACGCTAACCTCCAGTCAATCACTAATTTGTCTACATAATCGCACAGAATAGTCCCACCAGACTTGTGACTGATTGCCTTCACCCAACCGACACACCAACTCAGTCGATTATCATATTCCTTCACTCCGTATTTTATCATCGATTTTAAAGTTTCCTTTATACCTACTGATTTTAGGGTTCGTGAACCTCTCAGTGTAGTCCTTGATATTTAACTTATTTTTCTGAATCAACTTTGCCGTCTGAAATTTTTTTTCAGTTTGAATCACAATATATATTCTTATCGTGTATTACGTATAATCAAATTATCAATAACCTAATATTACTTAACTTTGAAGTCTAATTATCTTGGATGCTTTAGCAGCAGCTATCACACTCTCAAATTCTCTTGCTGTTAGCAGATTTGGTTTAAGAAGCATTTAGTGACTCTACGAAGTCACGTAGGACTGCTAAGGGTGATTAACAACCTCTTTGTTTTAGTATAAACTGACTAAAGTGGATAACTGATTTGGAGACACAAAACTATTGTTTCACTTCAGAAATAATCTTATCCTGCTTGCTGCCTGCCCTGTATCATGGAATTCGTTAGTTCCTTGTTTTTTGAGTGCTTTGTAAAACGGTGAATTCTGAATTCGGCTAGGCCAGACTAGAAAACTTTGTAGGATGACTGATTTTTCCGGATTCAGAAACGTTTCATTTGATACATTTCATACAGAAGTGGCCTTAGAGCATCACTGAACTTGAGAAATGAACATTGGACTTAGAAATGTTTGCATTAGGACTCATCTCTACATATCTACACTACATATTCATATGTTTCTTGCCTAGGGGTAATTTTTTCTTGGTCTTAATCACCCTAGCTTCTTTCTAAACTCCCGCTCTCTCTGATGGCCACTTGCGCACAATTATAGGGCATTTTCTAACGACGCAATATATACCCTATCGGACAGTATACCTATCTTAAGGAATGATTCGATCTTCTTAAAAATAAACATATACTTGAGCGTAAATTATATTTACAAGGATACTGATGGTGATTGGTTAAATTTACTGCATCAAAGCTCGTTAGGGACCAAAGAAAGCTCCTCACAGAGTAGGAATGATTACCACAGTGTTGATACGATAATACATGTTTGTCACATACCATTGAACTAAGCGACAATTCAGTTGGAGCGTCACGTGTGTTGCCACTTATGAGTTGAGTCAGGTAAATGTATATTTCGAAGCCGTATTTTTTCCACTTTATTCTTTGTGTATTACAAAACTCGTCACTTGTTTTATTACGCAGGTGAGTAAGTTTACGTGTTTGCCACTTCATAAATTCGTGTTATTTTGGTGTTATCTTAAAAGGTTATCCTGCTGGCGTACTCTACCACAGTCATACAACTTAATAAACTCACATCTCCAGATAATTACAAACAGATTTATCGTCGAATTGTAGTATTGATACAATATACTGTGCGCTTTGCGATATTAATATGCATTGTAATGTCCTCCCTCATTGTAAGTTTTGTGTGTTTCTGTGATAGTATTTAGTTGCGATTGAGACATCTTCAAGCTGTTTATGGAAGAAACTTTGACACTTTCAATGATGAATTCGAATCGGCTGTGGGGGTGACTTTCGCCTTAAGTTCTGTGAATCAAGATAATATTGGCTGTAAGTTAACATTTTAAGTTATAGAAATTCAGACTACTATGTCAGCGAAGTTGCCACTAATATTGAAGTAATTTGATTTTAAACATTGGTAATCGGTATATCTTTCAGAATCCCGAATGGGAATCTATTGAAGTACACAGTCTTCCTAAACAGTTCTCATCATCTAAAGGTTTGAATTTCTCAACCAGTTTATGCTTTAGCTGTTTTATTCACTTTCTTTCTTGTGCATAAGGAAAGCAATTCACTTTTGTTTGAGATTTTGGTGCATTTCTCTGGCCTCGTTCTCGCAAATTCAGAAGTAAGTTTCAGACCCTTTAAACAGTGTGTAGATGCGGGAAAATATGTGCCTACCGCAGTCAAAGGATCAGGTTTATTTTCAAATGGGCAGTCATATATATTCTCCTCGTGAGTATTTCTCGCCAAACATAATAAGTACTCAAATGGTATTACCATAATGTAATTAATTATTACTTTTTAGTGGCCCAAAAGCACTTCACGCCATGTTCTCAAACCATCTTACAACTTATCTTCACTGCAGAAGTAGTATGAAATTTTTTATTCTAATTCTTAATAGATTTTTAGTCAACAAAGAGGCTTTGAAGGTTCAGCTGAAACGTATTAAATATATGCAAGGTCTAGCCAATGTTTTGAAGTCATCTCTTCACAGTTTGATCAGCCAGGTAAGTCTTAAGCGATTCATATAACTTAAAATCGTACGATAGTGCTCTGCAAGGACCTTAAAATCACACCCTTGCCCACATAAACCTAATTAAGTGATAGTCAGTTAGCACTGTATTAATCAAGAAGATTGTAATCAGTTGATTGGTGAATCTTATATGGGAGGCATGTGTACGGTAATTGGCATTCTACTAAAAATTAAGTATACGAAAGAATGAATGATTTAAATGAATCAGTTAACACTTCCCGTCTGCTTCTATGGTCATTTTGTTGTGTCGTTTTGCATGACAATCAGCCTACTTGTGCTGTATCACTATATAGCGAGCAGGTTGCCCTTTAAAAATTCAAATTACTCGAATCTCATCTCGCCTGCTTTAAACTAACCTGTTCTTCACTGTCCAGAGCGTGGAAAACGTGTTCCTCGGTAACATTTGCTGAACAAAACAGGCGTCTGTTCAGACCTACTGAAAATATTGACTGCATTTTTCCGGACCACTCGCCATGTCGTTTTTATGCTTACGAATTGTGTGACGGAGTATTTCGTCACGGAATTACTATAATTATTGATGCGCAATATAATTCCCAGTCTTATATATATAATCAAAACAAGTGATTCAGCAAGGAGTCTTTTCAACGAATTTATCATCAAGCTGTACAATCGTATATATATATATATATATATATATGGTTTTTAAGAAGTTACATCCGGTGAGGGAATTGAATCGTAGGTGAGAATGCATAAAATAACAATAATATGAAATGCAATTAAAACTAAAATGTTTGTGATTATAATCACAGTTAAATGTCAAGTGGTAAAGCAAATTAATGTCAAATATAGGATAATTCATAGGATGGATAGAACTTGAAAAAGGGTGTGCAATTATAGGATTAGTAGACAAATCGAATAAAATAAAAACGTTACGTAATATTGTGTGAAATTTAATAGCATAGAATTTATCGTTGTAAAAAAGAATTGACTTAGAATGACAAGTGGAACAAGTGAAATAATACCGGTGACATTTCAAAGTGAGAGTAGTAATAGTAATAACTGACGTAATAAGGAAGAGTACACAAATTGAATAGACAAAATGAAGAAATGAAAAATTGGTAGAACTAAAATATGATTGGGAATTACCATACTTTAGCATAGAGGGATTAAGACCATGAAAGTTGGAGGGGTTGAACGAACTTTTTCTGTACACAGAGATCTGGCTTTTCTGTTTCGATAGCCAAAGCTTCAGCAATACAGATGAGTCGGGTACGTATGGTTTTGGGTAAATTACTCTTTGCCTTGTAGATGACTTTAAAGGCGGAGGCTATAGAGATAGGGTGATCATTATCGACTAGATGTTCAGTGATCGCGCTTCTTATTGCTCCACTTCCACCTTTTTGTAACCGTGCAGGATAGTGTTGTTGCACCCTCTTGGACATAATTCGAGTCGAACGACCGATATACCTAGCTCCACACGAGCAGGTAAATTGATAAACACACACAAAGTTGGTCAGCAGCGGGATCTTGTCCTTCAGGGCATTGAACAGTAATGGTCTACTAGTAAAGGCTATTCTCAGAGATGTAGCAGGGAATGTTCTTTTCAGGGACTGTGATATCCTTCGTTTCATGATATCGGAAGCTAATTCCCCTTTGAATTCCAAGCCCATGTAAAGTATTTTCTTGGGTACGGTTGATAAGTCACGTTTTATAGGATTTGAATGTATATTCTTATCTATTAAACGTGGTGGAAATCCATTTTCTATTAGGATTTTCCTCAAAAGGTATAACTCATCTTCCACAGTATCAGGGCTACATATGCGCCGAATACGAGTGGCAAGCGACCAAACCAGGTCTCGTTTTTGACCAGTGGGTACCGAGCTGTAGAAATTTGTCAGTTGACCATTCCATGATAGCTTACGATAAATCGATCTCTTCAGAGTTCCATCGGTCCTCCTTGATAAGTTCACATCGAGGAAATGAATGCTAGACTCGTTCTCCATTTCGAGTGTGAATTTTATCGCAGGATGGCAACCATTAAATACATTTAATATATTATTGAAGTTACAATCACTATTACAAATAATAAATGTGTCATCTACATACCTTTTACACATTTGAAAGCTTTGGATTATAGGCTTCAGCTGACCATTTTCTAGACTGGACATAAAACAGTCTGCAAGGAGAGGACCCAAAGGAGAACCCATTGAAATACCATCCTTCTCTCTGTAGATTTTTTAGTTGAAAGTAAACTGTACATTCAATGTTCATCTCAAAAGTAGTTCTTTCAGGTCTGTAGTGGGTATCCCTATATTCAGTTTGCTGTCTTGAATATATTTGCATGTAAAACATATGGTTTCTGTCAGTGGAACATGCGTAAATAGGGATTCTACATCCAAAGACAACATAGGTATATTCGACACATTTATATCCTGTATACATTCAACAAATTGGAATGTGTTCCGAAGGGAATGATTAGATAGTTGTCCCCTGACAGGTTCGAGGATTTCAGCTAACCACCCAGCTACTGGATGATAGGGCGACCCAGACATATCCAAGATAGGGTGGAGTGGGTGGCCAGCTTTGTGTATTTTCGGTAGACCGTATATATATACATATAATTGGAACTGTAACAGGCGTCTAGAATGAGCTTCAATTCGTGCTAGGTGTTCAGATGATACAAACCCTCCAGCTTCATTTGTTTAAATTGGTTACCTTTAGCAAGTTTGTTTTCTGAGTGGTTTTTTAGTATAAAATGTTAATTCTTTCAAATACAGCTTTTTGCCAATTTTCCTCAATGTAAAGGGCGTTGCTGCTGAAAAAATGGCTGTGGCGATTGGTCTAGTCAAGAAACGAATAGAATTGACAAGATGTTTGATGTTGCTAACAGGCAATAAGATAGAAGCTCTGAAAAGTAAAAGATTCTCTTTAGGTAAATCTTTTTCTTCGCTGTGCACATTAATTCCTAAAAATATCATGTTATTATTTATTTTGTGAATTACTCATTTTTTCTTTAATGTAGTGCTTTAAATACATTTATATCAGCTCAAGTGATTTGAGTAGTCTGACTTGACTGAACATTTATGCTGGGCAGATAATGTAATGTGACTCTTTAGATGGTATTGTGTCATTCCCTAAACGTGAAGTTTTACGCCTAGTATGGTATTCCTGCTTAGCAGTTGGAAATCGCGCAATGGATTCTTATGAACTTTTGGTAATAAGATAACTACTGTTGTTATTCCTATTGGTTAGCAACCTTACAGTTTTTAAAGAATTTAAATAGGTTACTTTTAAAGAGTCCTTGTTTTGGATTACGGTTAAGCTCTCATTGTAAACTGGATATTAACCCCATATTCGTCTTAACGCAGCATTGTACTACTAGGCTCCTAGGACTCATTGTTTTAATCTTTTTGGTTGTAGTTGCTTTACAACCCAACTTTATAACGTACTTCGCTTTACCAAAAGTAGTAGCGACTAATTTATATATATATATATATATATAGAATCGTGAATTCCATCCGTCACATATTCATTTCTGACTGACTGGTTTCAACGTAGAACCTTGCACATATTTGCAGCAGTTCAAGTTGTCACACTCCATGCAGCATAAAAAGCGAGAAAAGAGTGAAGATAGGTTCAAAAAAGAGATAATAAACAGAAATATGAGGTAAAAAGACTAGTGATATGGGAGGACAACAGAATTTAATTGGATATTATAAATCACAAAGAGTGAATGCATCTGCGCCATTGAGAACGATTTTTAGCCATATCACCAATTGTTTGCAGCCATTGGTTTTTACCGTCCCGAGGACCCCAACCAGGAAGTCTACACCTTCCTACGTGGCTGGCTTTAACCGTTGTGGATTTCATTGGCTTATGCCGTGTTTTGTTATGACCACCACTAGTTAACTCTTTTCCAAGCTAAACCATCCTATGTCAGCTAACGTTGACCATTGTCGAGGGAGGCAATCGATGGCTAAGCATGCATGCGTAACACATGCCCTAACCATCGTTGATTGATTTCACCTCCCATCTACCTAGCACTCGACCGAAGCCTAACCTCAGTATTGCTCGCCTCACTGTACCACTTAACATGGGAGATAGAACGCAAGCATATATGATTAAAGACAACTAGCTGGCCTTTTCGTATCTTCCACTTTCAATAGCCATATCTCACAGCCATTAAGGAGGGCAGAGCGAACTACTGAGCGGTACACACGTCCTTCGGTCGTCAGCTGGCCGGATAATACGTCTACTCCAGAGATGGCGTCAGTTGGCAGGTGTATGCCAAACTAGCCTTCTGTATCCGTGCTGAGATTTCGTCAGCGATCCACTCGCTGACGTTGGCTGATGCAACTTACCAAATAAGTGAAGTGGTCAACACGCTCTACCATGTCACTTACTATCTTTAAGTTAGGTGTAGTCATTGTATTCCAGTCTTGTAGTATCACCTTACATTTGACAACAGGAGCCAATCGTATGCATATGAGATTATTCCCTGGTGGTAACAAGTCAATTCCTGAGTCGCTGAAGTCAGTTAGGGTTATTTCCATTAGTACATCTATGATGAAATTAAACAGAAATGGGGACGACAGGCATCCGCGACAGACAGCAGGGGTGTCACCGATTCAGACGATAACTCGCCATAAGCCCTTATCTGGTTGCACGAGTTCGAGTAGAGTGTCATGATCAGTGCGACGTGTCTTCTCGGCGTTGTCTTCATGGCCAAACATCGCCATAGTACCTATCGGTCGACAAAGTCGAATGCCGCCTTTAGGTCAAGAAATATGACGATTATTGGACACCGGTAAATATGCCTATGTTCCACAATCTGTCGAAGAGTGACGATATGATCAATACACCGTCTTCCTGGTCTAAAGCCTGCCTGGTTGTCTCGTGTTTGTCCCCCCCCCCGGACAGCACTTACTCTACGCACTATTATTGAGCCTAGAACTTTAGATACCGTATTGGTCAAGCTAATCCCCCTGTGATTATCATAGGGAGACGTCTCCCTTCTTGTATATGGCGATAATCAATGACTTACACCAACCTCACGGGACTTTCTCTGATTCCCAGACCCTGCCTAGTACCTTAGTTAACGTAAACAGTAAACTGTCTCCACTGTCCTTAAACGCCACTGGAGTCATTCCATAAGGTCCCTCTGCTTTGCTTCGTTTGCTTTCCGACCTGCCTAAATGGAAATATTAGTATGTAAACTTCTTACGTCAAAACTTCTAGCTTTCATCTCATTTTGCATGAGTTACCCAACCTAGAATCTGACCAGTCTCTAATGAAACCTAATGCTGATGGCAAGTATTCAGATGGTTCATATGTCGGGATGTTCTTAGAGTCAACTGTAGGCCTATTCGCGTATCACAATAACTTTTAAAAACCATACATTCTGCTAGAATTATTATTATTTTTAGGCATTAAGTCAAACAACTTTGAATCAGTTTGAAACGAATTCATTCAACCTACTAACTCAGCTGTATATTTTTTGAACTTATAACTGTGTCAACCGGTTTCTTAATCTCCTCATATAGACGTTTTTGAATATATATTCACTGACTTTGTTACTGTTATCCTGTCATTCCATAATTACTGTTGAATCAACTAGTCAGATTGGGCAATTACTCTATTCTTGTCGCCTCTCAAACTTTTTAAAGCTGCTGTTTCTTGTTGTAGCAAGTTCATTTTCGATTTCTTCTCATATATCAGTGTTAATGAACATTATACGCTTGCAAAGCATTCACTTGTAAGTCATCACACAGTATAGCAGAACAGACTAGAAGTATTAAAAAGTAATACAATTAAGTAGAGAGAAAGGTTAATCAACGAATTTTCGTCCATTGAATCAATACCAAACACTTATCCCGGGTACATTGGAAATTGAAGTGAGGCCATAGTATATCACGTAGTGTGAATACATTGAAATGATTACAAGCAGTAAATTGTGCTCGAAACGTCATTCAGTTCTTAATATTGCATCGCTATACGTTATATCAAATAAACTCATCTAATATGGAAGATATTTTTATTTCAAGTTTGACCACGGATTGACATCAGTTTGAGAACCACTGAACTTTAGAGATTAATGGAAAGCTGTTTCGTGTGTACCTATGATGACTTATAGACTAGGACGAAACAGCTGTTCATTACTTCCTGCTTTAAATGGTTCTGTAACTGATATGGATCCGTGGTCAAACTTGAAACAAATCAAATCCCTACAGACCAACTCTTCTAGATACTTTTATTTCTATAAATTACTGTCTAGCTACTTGCAATAAGTAAAGTAGTATATATGTGTGAATAGAAATTCTTTGCTTCAGAGTTATTCAAGGTTACACACAAATCATGCAATTGAGATCTGTTTTTATTGGAGATTCATGTCAAAAGCTGTCTTTACTGATTTGGCCTTCGCGACGTACAAATTTTGAAACCCTACCCCTTCAATGATGAAGATATTCCTGGTATTCCAATCTAACTGAGGCTTCGCTACACATGAAATAACGACCTTAAAATATAAATTACTTATTATTATTATTAATTTGATGTGGTTGTGCTCACTGAACTAAACGATTTGACTACTGACCTGTCAGTACACTTCTAGGCAAAATCCTTTAGAAAGGAAGTACGCGTGAGATATCAAGGCTAAAACACATAATTGTTTTAAAGGTTCACGAGTCTTCAATCTGTTTTGTCTCTCACATACCAATCAGCTAAGTACTGCAAGCGACGCCATTCTCCTGTTTTCCCAGCATAAATTTCCTCTAAATTCAGATACCCATGTACACACATCGCTGATGTGATGTCACATTTCTGTAATTTTGAGTTTCTTCAGGGAAATCATTTGAAATTATTGAAAGCTTTCGTTGCACTCTACATAATCTTGGTGCATTAATTTAATTTCTCTGAAGAACTTCAAAATTAATTTAAGGATATAATTAATTTTACCTCATAGTAGGGTTATACACCAAATTCTATTCATAGGCATGACTTATTTCTTATTCTGTCATAATTTCACGTAATACTTCTCTAAGAAGAAGAATTTATTCTTCGTCTTATTTTTAAACAGAGCAAGAGTTATTGAACTTAAGTGAAAGCAGAACAGTAATTTCTAATCGACTAGAAGTTTTGCATCAATCTCTGAAGGTTGGTTAGTAAGTTTTACCATTATTAATATTGCTGACAATGATCTCTTGTGCGATTTCTCTACTATTCAAATTTTTCTCAATCTATGATAATTTACAAGCTTGGAATTACCATCCATTTTTATGTCAGGTTTATAATTGTGTTTGAAAACATATCCTTTAATGTACACACATACACACATCATTTTAGTCGATACTTAACTAGCAATAGGTTTGAGTGCTTGTAGTGAAACAAATTCATAAGCGTAATTGAATTTTGAAAAGAGTCCATTCCCAGATGCACCAAACTGATTGATAAAACAGATAGAATAAAATCGGAATATGAACTTTGTTACTGACCACATTCAAACTAATATTGTTGATTACGTTGCACTAAATTTCTGTGACACACCGTTTAAAGGCCAACATACTTCGCTTTATCAACAAACTGTCATCATGGTGGTTATTAATTTATTAAACATTTAGTTTTACGATTATACACGCATAATAACAACTTGGATTGTATTATGAATGTGTATCAAGTTTACCCTGGTGAAGCACAGATCTCTGTTTCTGTAATGTTTTTATTCCTTCGCGTTCCACGTGAAACAAGCTTGAGTTTCGAATTTTCAACAGCGATCGTGTTTTTCTGTGGAGGAGAAAGGGTTACTAGCCTCACGCGCCTAACCTCCTCATTTTTCCATGATTACTACTGACTAGACTATATTTAGGAGTGGAGTGGATGGGAGTTGAACCCGGACTACGTGCATGAGTATTCTACCACTGGCCCACCGACTGACTGATCTTTCTGCTTGTCATAAAACAGGAATCGAAATCCTCTTTGCTTGATAATTAGGTTGTGTGTAGACAATTCAAAACCGAAAACAAACGAGAGTAAAATTGTTATAAGACCTTCAGAGTCTGGAAAAAAGACAAAATGACTACACTAAGACCATGGCTATTAGCATATGGCCACATCATCTTAATTTTTTTGATATCAAGTATTGATTTTGTAGGCAGTTTGTTCGATTGGTTGGAGGATTTCATCATCAGTTTCCTGTATTCTGTTGATCACAGTAGAGTTTAGTTCGCCGTCATGCTTTGTTTCACTTCAGTCGTATTACAGTGTCTCACGGCAACAGAAGTCTCGAAATGTCATAATTTCAAAGAATGCTTCATACTGACTATATACAACTTTATGATCAACCTTTAGACTATTATCATGACTGTGACTAAAGGCCATATCTATCTAATTTAGAAATTGTGTGCTCTTAGTGGTTACACGTTTCACAGTTACACGTTATACAGTAATATTACTAAGTACTATAGGGTGCCGTGTACTCAGCTAACCATCGTTATCGAGATGTTAATCACCAATTAAGATCATGTTTTATTTATAAATATTCAGTTGTTGTAGTTGTGTGTGACAGATGTCTCATCGGTAGCATCGTTAGAGTGTGTTGAAGTCACAAAAACAGATCATGCTATTATAGCAATACAACAATGATATTGAAATGCTAAAAGACAAAAGACTTGGGAAAGAAATGCTTATTTGGAAATTGGTATCTCTATGTATAACCAAATTATGTACACACCTTATCTTCACCCTACAATTTGCACAGATCTACATGTTGTGATACTTCTGGCTTTCATATTGTTTTTCTTTTGTGTTGCTTTCGCGTCTCGCATATATCTGCACAACACTGTATCATTCGCCTTCGCTGACATCAAATGTATGTCGTTGCTATTTGGTGTTTTTGTGCCGATGAACGTCTCTTTATATACTACTGGTAAATCGTATCAGCAGCACTCACCACAGTATGAATTCCCAGCTGAGTGCAGTAGTAAGAAAATGGAATCACTTCGTTTCTTATCTTTCTAGTGTTTTATTAGTTAGTTAATATATTCAGTGGTCAGTGTGATTGCTTATAAGCTTATCATTTATCAAAGTTATTGCATTTTACCAAGTTTCATCTTTTTTATTTTTTGAAAGCAAAGAGCTGAATAAAATACAGTGTGCGTTGTTTGTTCGCATACTTCATTTATTAAATGAAGTGTACAGTCTATTCGTCAGTGATCTGTTAAATCCAGTATTCAATGCTAATCATCAAGAAGTGAGTTCTAGTGTTATCATCCCTTAGCTATTTACTGTTATTACTGATTGATTTTTGCGTGAAATAACTACAGATAATGAAAGGATTCTCTTACAAAGTAGAGGTAGGTTGATAAGATCTATGTGTTGAAAGTCTTTTCCTAGCCACTGCCTAGTAGACAATACAAATTTCTACATGAAAACATTGAAGCCTACGCAAACTCTCGATGCTATTATTACTGTTATTCGTTGCTTGCACTCAGAATAGAACGTATGGCTACAGCGGTACATCTCCGCCGCATTTACTTCTCTGCTATCGCCTTCAGCTGACTCCATGACCGCCGAAAAGCTTTCGACCTCTCTTTTTGCACGACCTCCATGTCAACCTCAGATGCCGAACTTGTTGTTTTTCATTTGGGTTATACTTGAAAGGCTGGCATCTAATGTCACTTCAGTGCCTCCTCAGCTTATGTTCAATCCATATCTAGTTCCTTCTGCATATTTATCGGTTGGGCAACAGGTTCTCGTCTGGTTCGTTGCACTACCAGGGTTCTTTTTTGCGTATGTTTTCTCTGTAGGCTATTTGATCTTCATCATTGAGATAACTGTTGATGGAAGTGTGCAACGGTCTAGTGGAAAAGCTTTCGGTGACAGGAGTACCACCGTATCTGAACCATATCGAAGCACTGACGAATTCGAAACTTGTTGATTGCAATGAATGCTGTACACACTGTTTTCGGAGTAATGAACTCTTGTGTTGTTTTCTCGATACGATCCTGGCTTTAATATCCTCATCCTTGCTGGCTGTAGTTAAAATGATTCTGCCCGGCTTGGTAAATGAAAGAAACAACTTGCTTCAGATTTTCACTATTGATTGATGGTGATTGGTGGTTGTCGCAGTCATTGGGTATCTTCATCATCTCTATCTTCTCTACATTTACCTGAATTCCTGTCTTCGCTTTTAAGTCTTCAAGTTTGTGAAGCATGATACATAAGTCATCTGCGAAACCCAGCCCTTCTGAGGTCTTTTTGTTAATCCAATGTATGCCTATCTTACACTCTCCACGGTCTCCTGCATGATCCAGTCCACCACAAATACGAAGGTCACCACTAACTACAGACATTCTCGTCCCACTCCAAACGTTTCGATGAGTTTTTTGTTGTGAATTGTTTGGCATGCAACATCATCATCAAATAGCTGTTTAACGAGGTTTATAAATGTTGTAACCTGTGAACAATACTGGATTCAGATTCGTTCTCACTATACGATTGATCACTCGACTAATTTTCTAATGATGTCAACTTCAACGCTTATAGAATATGTAGTGTGCTGTCCTTATAGTCTCATCATTACTGTTAATTTAAACGTCTGTGGTATTAGAAAGAAAACACTGATAATATTTTTCATAACGTGGTATTTATGAGTATGCATTAACTTCATCGATTTCCCGTTTATGATGTGATTGAGGTTCTTTCTCAGGCAAATTACTGAAATATTGTCTCGTATATATCAACTTTCAATAAAGATATGTTTCGACTATAGAATGTTGAAGAGATCAATTTCAATGTAGGTTTCGTCACGAAAAACATCAGCTAGAGGTCATTCAAAACCAGGGAGTGCTAGATAGCTGCCTCGTCTAAGTCAGGGAAATGTAAAAATAAAAATAAATAATGATAGCAGTGATAATAATAATAATAATGAAGATGATGCTGATGATAATAGTAATAATAGTAGTAATATTAATGAAAACATCCATGTCAAACATGCGCAAGATAATGACAACACTAACAATAAGGAATCTAAGTCATCAGTAGTAATTCCATACAAGGAAGGAACCTCAGAAGCCCTACGCAGAATTCTTAACAAGACAGGAATAAAAGTGGCTGGCATTCAAACCAACCACAAGCTCAATTAGAAACAAGCTTTGTCGGGTTATAGGATCCTGTGGAACTGTTAGAACAAAACAATTTAGCTTATCTAAAACCCTGAAATGATCGTCAGGTCAAACTAGTAGAACAGGGGCAGTCAGACTAGCCGAACATAAAGACCTAGCGAAATCTAGATTAGTTGACCCAAATAAGATGAACAAAAACCAGAGAGTAGTTCAGCTATGACACTACATGCAATTACACACAACCATACAATAGGATGGGATGAAATGATAGCTTCAAAATCTAATGTAACACGGTTGGGGCGAAAGAGATTGATAAAAGAAACTTTGTTTGTCGAATCAACTGCAAACTAACACGTGTAATAGGAATGATTCAACACCTGCCGCAGATATATGGAAAATTCTACTACAAATAGGAGAGAACAAAGAAAACTATAAAACTCAAATTTCGAAGTGATTATAATTGATATAATTATGAACAATAAATTTTATTGGAAACGTCATTTAGTAAATAATACTGTTTCACTCTGTGTGTGATACATCTAATGAACAAGCTAATAAGTCAGGGACTCTTAATCAGTACTCACCGACAACCCCATCGGAGATCGAATTCAGCACCCTCGGGTTGTGAGACGAAGCTCGTTCATCATTCAGCCATTTAGACCAGATTTCAATGACAAGTGAATTTTAAAACTTTGTTACTTCATAATATTGTAGCGCCCAGCTTCAATTAGTGCTGTTGATGAGCAGCATCTATATGCTCTTGACACGGTGGACCCTATTAAGATATGCTTATTTTCTGAAAGAGAAAGCATGCATTCGTAGATTCTCTGTGATGATTACCTGGTAATTACTTTAGTCCTTTATTTTACTTCTTTTGTTGGCCATAAGTAACGACAAAATTTAACCTACATCACTGACCAACCTTCATATTTTTTAAATTATTTATTTCATCTGATTAGTGTTAAAGCTGTTAACTCGCAAAACTTTTAAGGGACATATTTTTTTTGGCTTATTTTCATGTTTTGTCGTAAAATCCCCCATTACTTAGAAAAGTGCTGAAATAATCACTCAATGATAATCGATTGTTTCTGTCATCCTGAAGGCTATATCAACACTAGTGAATTGAGGGCCTTTTTAAATCTTTAAACACGGTTAAGAAGAACTGATGAGCTACTTTTGGAACTAGTAACATCTGTAATTATATACCTTATCCCAATGTGTAACTTTTGAGCATAGTCACCGGGAATAAAGGATATAAGAGAACGGCCTATGTCCAACAAGGTCTATTTATGTAACACCTCATGTGAGTAGTGAGATCACCTTGGGGTGGCGTTTTGGAATGATGCACAGAGATTAGATGAAAAAAACACATGTTAACTGCTATTCATGGATGTAAGACAATAATAACGCAATGTATGTTTCAACACAACTAGGCTGAAGAAAACTAAGGATGAATTTTACTGAATAAATAACATCATTTGTTTTTTCAATTATGCATTGTGAGATATTTTCTTAATCATTATTTTTAACTACTGTTCAGAAAGGTCAAAACTTTCATGTTTGTATATAAAAGGGCGATTGAAACTGAAATTATTATTATTGTTTCCTTTAGTTCCTAGAAGAACATAGGGCTTCAGCTGCACGTCTCCATTGCGTTTGGTTCTCTGCCAACGTTCTCACCTGTCTCCACGTCTCCCCACATGCTTTCACCTCCTCTTCACATGATCTCCTCCATGCCACCCTTTGACGACCAACTCGCCGCTTCCCGTTCGGGTTCCTCTCTATGGCCTGTCTTGTGATGTCCCTTGATGATTTGTCTTCTCAGAGTTAAGCCAATCCACCTCCATTTCTCCCTGCTTATTTGTTGCACAATCGGTTCCTGGTTGGTTCGCTCCCAGAGATCGCTGTTGCTGATCTTCCCTGGCCATCTGATCTTCAGTATTGAGCGAAGACAACTGTTAATGAAGGTCTGTAGTTTGTTTGAGATGCTCTTTATCACGCGCCAAGTCTCTGATCCGTATAGTAGCACGGACTTAACATTGGAGTTGAAAATCCGGATGTTATTTTTGATGGTGAGTGCTGTTGACCTCCACACAGACTTGAGAATAATGAAAGCTTGTCTTGCTTTCCCGATTCTGGCTTTGATATCCTCGTCAGTTCCATCCGCCTGTAGTTGAAGCGATGCTTCCTAGGTAGGTAGGTAGGTAAAGGAGGTTGTTTCTTCCAGGTTCCTCCCATTTATGCTGGCTGATTGTCGTCTGTTGTTGTTGTTGTTGCTGTTGGCCAGAAATCTTCATCACCTCCGTTTTCTCTATGTTCACCTGTAGTCCTATCTTTGATGCTTCTTTTGTCTCCAACTTGTTGCTTTCCACTTGGGAAATCAGACATATATCATCGGCGAAGTCCAGATCCTCCAAGTTTTTTGTGTGAGTGCATTTTATGCCTGTTTCCTCATTGCCCGTTGTCTGTCGCATTATCCAAACCACTGCAATCAGAAAAATCATTGGCGATAGTAGACAACCTTGCCTTATAGGAAACTGAAATAACGTATAAAAATTAGGAGTTTGTTTGGCAATCGATCAATTCATATTGTATCATGCTCCATGGCTTTCAACAGACCAGAAATGTCATAATGTTTTTTATTTGAATTTACTTCATACAATATGATAATGTTGCTGTAAAGGTCAATCACTGTTTCCGTATCTGTATAATATTGTTTTATCACTCAACTTATCATGCTTTGTTATTCATAATATTTATCATTTCTTTATTACCGTCTTTATTTCAGGCCCTGGGAATGCATGAGAGTAATTTATCGGATGACAATTCATCAACCCTACTGGATGGTTCAGATTTATCAGCGATGATGAACAGTCATCCTGTTCACCATCCTAGCATAGACTATGGAGCAGATTTTTTCACATCTCCTATATGCTTTGCTTATATTACACATTTATTCGCTTTGATTGCTGCTATCTTAGATCAACCAATAATTTATCCAAGAGATTTTGTTGAAAATTATCCTAAACTAAAACTGATGGATATATTTACACGGGATCTATCTCAGTCGGATCGCTGGTAAGCAGTTGGTTGCATTTTTAGAAAGATGCTCTTCAGAATAAATGTACTTTTTAGTTATTGTGTTTTATTCAGGGTGAGCAATATTGAGATTAGGCATCAGTCGAGTGCTAAGTAATGAGGGATGGGAAATCAATCGACGAGGCAGTGAAGCTACATCGACTGACGTATGCCTAGTCACCGTCTTCCTCGACCGACGGGCAATGCTAGTTAGCTGACATAAGATTGATCAGGTTGGGAAAGAGCTAATAGTGGTCAAACCAAAACAGTGAACCAGTCAATGAAATCCACAACAGTTAGTTTGAGCCGGTCACGTAAGGAGGTGTAGATTTCCTCACTAGTTGGGGTCCTCGGGATGGTGGAAACCAATAGGTGGAGACAATCGGTGATATGGCTCAAAATCGTTCTCAGTGGCTAGCGCACATGCATCCACTCCTTGTGACTTATAATTTCCAATGAAACCATATTGTTCTTCGTTATTACTATTCGTTTTGTCTCATATCCCCGACTACTGTCTCTTTTTTGCATTTCTTGTACTTTCTTCTGTTGGTTTGTGTGCTACAAGGAGGGAGTATGGCGACTTGAACTGCTGCACATCGGTGCAAAGTTCTACGTTGAAAACTTTACTTACTTTACTTTACTTCGGCTATCTCCTACGGGAGGATGAGTCGGCCTCATGAACATCTCGAATCATCGCTGTCCAGGCGCGGCGATCTAATGCAAGGTTTTGCGACAGCGGAGTCCGTAGACGGTTTGTAGCCCCAGCCCAGGGACTCCATATCAGCCTTGACTGTACCAAGCCATGTTTTCAGCTGTCCACCCCTGCGACATCGCCAAGATGGAAATGGTGAGGGATTTAGAACTGATTTGAACAGATCGTCATCTGGTCGGCGCAGAACATGGCCAAACCACCGAAGGCGACGTTGTTGGACCAGTACCGGAATTTGGTTGATGTTGTAGAGAGTTCATGAAGTTTCATGGGAATTAGGTACGAGTGATGTCCCCAGAATCGCTCGGTTTTTTGTTTGAGAGTGCAGCTCTAGCCTTTACACAACCAAGTGTGACCTACAAGGCAGTAGGAGTGGAGTAGGGAGTCCACTATCCATTGGCAACCGGTGACCGGAGTCCGGTTCATACGCCTTTTTGAATGGGGCCAGACATCCAGGACATCCAATAAGCCCTTTGTCCATACGTCTGCCGGTGAGCTCTGGTGAGCTTCATACGCCAGTCGTTGGAGGTTTGGAATCAGGGTTTAGCCATCTCCCCTAGACTGTCATCCAATGGACAGTCAACCCGGTGAAGAGCGCCGGGCATCCACTTTTGCCCTCTTACTTCGGTGAAAAACACCTCCGCCACGTGAAGGCAGTGAGTAGGACTTCCTCAGGAGAGGCTATATAAGATGCCCGGTCATATGAGAGCATTTCAAGAGGTGTACGGAGGGGTGGCCAACCCTCAGCGCAAGGCACCCACCTCCGACCATCCTGAGGCTTTGGAGGCAGACAGTGTTTTATTAGGCAGTACTAACATTTCTGTATATTATACTGTTTTTTTTTTAGATGGGTATATTTCATATCATACCGAAAGTGTGTATGCATTTCTGATTTATTAGGATAACTGTATCGCATAATAAAAGATGATAGACCCAGCAGATGGCATCGATTGTACTGTTGTGCTGACAAAAGCTTAGGAGAAAATCCAGCTAAAGCGACAATTGTTTTTACGAGTTTATAGAAAATTACTGCTACTTAGAAAACAGACAATGTAGAATAATATTTTTATTACTATCTTTGATAGTTTAACCAATTGTCAAAGTATAAACTGACATTCATATATACTTCATATTGCTTGTAGCATTTCTTGAATAACTCATATGAGAGTAGGCATTATTGAAATTGATGGATTTCCGAATTCCACGTAAAGTATCTGTAGGATTCGACTTCAAATCATCAAGTACACAGTGTAGCATAAGAAAAAAGAAATAGTCGAGATATATTTGTATTTATCCTTCCCAGTTATATGAATTTTCTTTTTTTGTGCTCTCCACTGTCTTGCTAATAGGATTTCAAGTCTACAAGGCTTGCTTTGGTTTGTTTGTACAAGAAGTATCTTAGCATTTACACAGGCGACGAAACGTTGACCGCATAAGAAGTTCTGACAGCATTGTAGGATGCAATATTTCACTTGTCAGTAATCAGCGTTTTTAGGTGAATGAAAAAGTCAGTGTTTCAAACATGTCCTACTTTCAGTTTCTGTTGACTGACTAACTGTTGTGATAGCATGAAATTAGGGTTTAATTAAGGTGTCCACTTGATTTAGATTTTCAGTGTCTTTAACTTTTGCAAGCTCTACTGTTTCTAACATGTCTATTCTGAAACCACATGTCACGTTCGAGTAAGGTGTCTGCAACATTCTCACATTCATGCAAATCGGAAGACAATGAGGTCTTGTCTGAAACCCTGGAGAGCCTTACTATTCATGTATGCCGCATTACAGAGACCCGTATACAAGAAGTGAAGTGCCACGAATATCTTCTCCATTTTCAAGTTAGAACAGTGTGAATCATACATACCTTGGACCCTGTGGCACTGGCATCCGTTTCAGGTGTTGTCAGTGTCCCAATAAGCGTTGCAGCTGAATTATATATTACTCGACTTGATCTCCATTAAACAGTCGGTTATGTGATATAAAAGTAGACGTTTACACTAGAGCAAGCACTGAGTGACCAGAGAAGCGTTGTCTTCTTGTTTTGTATACACATGCACTGAGAGATGGCAGATAGGATGCAATTAAAAATAGGTTGTACTATCTTATGGGTGAGCTTTCCAACCTCTCGCGTCAAATAGACGGTGTATTGCTAGCTAGAGACTGGAATGCGCACCGTTCGGGCATATGCTCTCAGAGGGGATTCGCCAACATAGTATGAGGTTAGAAAAAATCTATTCTTCTTGCATATTGCTATTCTTTTTGCCTCACATTTCCATTTAATTTCTGTCTTTTGAATCTCTCTTTACTCTCCTCCGGGTGTGAGGACAAATACTCGCGAAGACATTAGTTAATGGTCAATTTATATCGTGAATTCGCAAAAGGTGGAATTCATGCACCAGTCATTGTCTGTCTGTCTGTCTGTTTTCGACATAGAACTTTGCACAAATGTGCGGAAGTTCAAGTCGCCACATTCCGTGTAGCACGCGAAGCAAGAGAAGAAAGTACAAGAAAAGCATAATAGAGACAGTGAGCAGAGGTGTGAGACAAAGGAGTAATAAAGAAAAACAAAACAGTTTCATTGGAGATCATAAGTTACAAGGAGTGGATGCATCTGCGCCACTGAGAACGATTTTGAGCCATGTCGCCAATTGTTTCCAACCATAGAATTTTACCGTCCCGAGGACCCCAGCCTGGAAGTCTACACCTTCCTACGTGGCTTAGACCAACTGTTATGGATTTCATTGACTGGTGCCAGTCATTGGATCAGTCCCAGTGGCTTAACGGTTTACGAGCTCACCTTGTAACCAGAAAGTCCTGTTTTCGAGAACTCTCGGTGTCTGCGTACTGCAGAAAAGTGCCAGACTAGGACTCCCAGGTTTTCCAGTGGTTCTCTAACCGATGTCAGCACAGCTGTTATCCGAGAAGAGATCAATGAAGATAAGGACAGTGAAGGAAATCTTATTATCAAATGGACGAAAAACGTGACTACTTTAAAGGACTGTTACACTGGTAACCAACTCAACAGACGTGCTACTGATAGTGTGGAAGGAAGACAATGTACCTGCCGCTTGGAAGAAACTGTACTTTTTCAGGGTACCGAAGAAAAGCGACTGAACCCTATGCTAGAATTGGATCAGCATTACGCCCCAGTCCACCCTGTGCAAAATATTAAGCCAATTCATCCTGCAGGAAAGATACCTTGGATGGAAGTCTTCACCTGGAAAAAATATTAGATCCAAGAAAAACCAACCATTTGTGTATAGAATTGGAACACTAGACATCATCATCGAACTGGTACTAAAATGACAGCCAACTTTTTCCGTCAAGTTTATCGACTGTGAAAAGGCTATGAAAAAGTTATTTGCCAACTGCTTTCAACACTGCAGAGTGCAGTGCCGCAAACATTTATAAACCTCATTCTGTAGTTATATGATGATGCTACCTGCCAGGTAATTCACAAAAGAAACCCTGTGATTGTGGTTGACTGAATCATGCAATAGGCTATAAGGAATGAGAAGTCATACAGATGTTGGACTGATGAGAAAACATTAGAAAATCCGGATTTCGTGGACAATATGTATTTCATGTATCAAACTTTAAGATTTAGAGGCAAAAACCAACAAGGCGGCGGAAAAGGCAGAGAAGACACATCTTTAGGTTCACTTGGGGAATTCCGATGTGATGAAGATACTCAATTAACTATAATAGACACCGGTTACTATTATTAGGAGGAATCTGAAAGAAGTCGTCTCTTTCACTTACCAACCTAGGAACCATCGTACCAGCTACAAGAGGCACAAGTGAGAATGTCAAAGCCAACCAGGGCGGACTGACTGAGTTTCAATGTAGGACTTTGTACAAAAGTGTAGGAGTTTGTGTTGCGCACAAAGGAAGAAAAAAGAAAAAAACTCAATAAAATCTATTCGGAGCAGAATATTACGGGAAGAAGAATAGTAACACGGAAAAACCTGAGGACTAAATGGATCTGACTAGCATTGAGAACTCTTTCCGGTCATATCACTAGCAGATTTAAGCCATTGGTTCCCAGCGCCTTGACGATCCCAGCCACGTATTCTACACACCTCCCTACGTGGATCAAATCATCAAACGAAGACTTTATGGATTGATTCTAGGCCTCGGTTTAACCATCTCTAACTCTTTTCTAACTCAACCCTATATGTTAGCGCTGCCTCGACATGCATAACACACGTCCTAACTACCTCCATCAATATGGTTTCAAAACCTTATCGACTAAGTTGTCCTCCTCACCCAACACCCTACGCATAACTTCAGTTCTACTCGTATAATATCACTTAACACGGGAGATAGAGTTCAAACATCTGTGATCAAAGACAGCCAGCCTCATCAAGTTTTCCTTGTTTCTATGGGCGTGTATCACAACCATAAGGAAGAACGAAACAAACTGGTGTGCAGTACATACGTCTTTTAACCGATAGCCAAATAGCATGTCTACTTCAGAGATAAAGTAGGTTGACAAATGCCACGTGAGCCTTTTGTATCCGTGCTGAGATTTCGTCACTAAGACATGAGTTTATTACTCCGAAATCAGAGTCAAGGGGACGCTTTTATGTGGTTCAGAAACTCAGCCCGTGCGTCACCAAAAGCACATCCAACAGGCTGCTGCAGACTTTCATTAACAGCCGCCTTTGCTGTCTTGACTGAGAAGATCAGATGACCGACTGGGAAAGATAACCAAGCACTAAGTGCAGCGATCCAGTCAAGAACCTATTGCCCAGCCAGGAATTATACACAAGGGAATGTAGGTGGGTCGAACATACGCTGATGAGTCACTCAAGTAACATCATACGCCAGCCTCTTATGTAGAACTCGAAAGCATACATTATAACGGCTAAAGTCCCGAGTGGAAAATGGATCTTTGACGGCAAATTTCCACCGTGTTTAATTCTCTGTTATCATTTTCAACTTCCTACACAATTGGTGACAAGTTTTCATTAACTCCTCACATGGTCTTCTCCATGTCACATTCAGGGACGCTCAACTCATGACTTCCCATTCGGGTTCCACATGATAGGCTGGAAATCCTTCAATACTCAAAATCAGATGGCCGGGGAAGATCAGCAACAGCGATCTCTGGGAGCGAACCAACCAGGAATCGACTGTGCAACAAATAAGCAGGAAGAAATGGAGGTGTACTGGCCAGACTCTGAGAAAACCATCAAGTAACATCACAGGACAGGCCCCAGAGTGGAACCCGAACAAGAAGCGGCGAGTTGGTCGTCAAAGGGTGGCATGGAGGAGATCATGTGAAGAGGAGGTGAAAGCATGTGGGGAGACGTGGAGCCAGGTGAGAACGTTGGCAGAGGACTGAACGCAATGGAGACGTGCAGCTGAAGCCCTATGTTCCTTTAGGAACTAAAGGAAACAATAATAATACCCGAAGTCCAGCCTATAATGTTTTCGCTCGTTTTCCATTGACTATAACAATTCGCTATATAGTGAGTGCTTTTATAATTGTAGCTTTTTATATTCCATTAATCTGTTAACAAACACCTTGACTGATTCTCTTTGGAAAAGTGAGTGTGTGTGTGTGTGTGTTTGTAGCAATACTTGCAAGCTGTTAGTTTAAACTCTAATCATAGACAAAAGAAGTGTGCTCGAAACATAACCCACATAATAATACTGTGTTCTCTATTAAGTAAAGTGCGTCGGTGGTACAGCGGCTAGGACTCTCGCCGATCGTGCAAATGATCCGGGGTTCGATCTCCTACCGACGCACTCCTGATATCAATTGATCGGCATGCAAAATTTGGGCTACCGATTTCACATGCTGAAAATTCTATACTTGTACCGAAAATACTGTGTGGAATCAAGCTATAATAAAAAAATATGGAAAATTCACTTCATTCACCATTAAAAATATCATCTTCTTCAAGTGCAATTAAGCGTGGTAATACAAAATAGAAACTAGTTAGTGTATACCTCAAAGTTCAAAATGAACTTAACGGAATATTGACATAACTATGAAAAACTATTAGAAATTCACATGACCTATTATATTTGATAACTATCAATTCACTGTTCTACATATTTCTCTTATTATTATTATTTTTTTCGCAAATTCCTGTATCACATTAACTTCTGAAATATTAATTGTTTTCTGAATTTAGTATCTTCTATTTCTTGATAGATAAGTAGCTTTTTACAGATCATCGATTAGTTCGCTCACCTTCTTCAAAGACATGATTATTTAAGTGTAACTATGAGCATTATAAATACGTTTTTGTCTTTTTTTCATCATACAGTAAGTGGTGAGTGATATTGATCCATCTAGTGAATTAGTGTATGTATGTATGTATGTATGTATGTATGTATGTATGTCTTAGCGCTCGCTACTTAAACACAACTTGATTTCAAGTTCATCCAAAAAGCCTTAAAGTTAAAAAAGGACTGTAGAAAAATTCTCTAGCCTAACTAAATTCAGCATTAATTGTTGCAACGCATACACATACACTGATAAGTTAGTTATTATTAGTGGCAAGTGATTTCACTTCTCAGTAGTGTGTACAGTTTATAAAGAAATGCCAAACTTTCGGTATTAGAGGGTTGGAGGCAATGTAATGTGTAATGTGTCTAGTCCTATCTTCGGTACAGACTAAATTCTGTCACATTGCAAGCTTGACTGATAGAATTCAGTCTACCACGAAGATAGGACTATAGACACATTACACTAGTTACTGACTAGTGTGCAATCGAAAAAAAATGCCAAACTAAACCAATTCAGCGGAAATTCATGTCAACTATTGTTAACCTATATTCTTATGAAAGAGTCTTCTTGGTTATCTTCTCATAGAGGATTCAGTAATATCTCATGATCGAAAGATATATACATATATATAATCCCATCTAAAACGGTTGGTGTTTAAAAGTGAACTTAAAACCTTGTTAAACAGTATAATACTCTAACTGGCAATCCTCTGATCCATTATTCCTTCGCTGTACCCCTTGAGTTTCGAGGAGAGACAGTTGTAGTAACTAGTCGATAATTCTACTTCAAATCATCAGCTGTCATGTGAATATGTGACGCTTCACTGTCCATTTCACATGATCACTATAGCTGTCCAACGAGATTTTTTGACTTTTTATTCTATATTTATCCTGGATTTTTTTGAAAACGTGAAGTAGATTGTTGAGGAAACTGTGGAATAATAGCTTTGAATCGGTAAGCCCGTATTAAATATAGTTTTCATTTTCAATCAACTGAACTGAGACTCTTCTTCAAGAATTGAAAGCACTATCAATACACTATATGATGTAGTGAAATTGAGGTGTAGGATTGTTAAACACTCTGCACGACGAGATTTTTTAAAGGAATGTATCCAGACTAATATACATCCTCGGACATTTTACAAATCCCTGCGTAAAGATCATTTTTGATACCTACACGGCCTAATCTTTACCGTCTTGCTGAACCGAGACTGTTTCATTAACAAATTTCTGTGTTTTAAACAAAGTTACCTCGGCATTTCTGTCGATTCTCTGACCTGAGCTTCACAAGGAAATTTGTAAAATTAAAGACAATTAGCTGTAGTCAACGTGCTGGTTCACTTCTCTTCAGTGTATCGATTACATATCTAAGATCCTTTTAAATTTCAATCCTCACTTATTTCTTGAAATAAATCGACAGCAAACTAATTTGTTTTAGGTGTTTACTGCTAACTTTGCGCCTATTATTTGCGACACTTTCTGTATAAATTATCTGGGAAGTTATCTTTAGTGTGTTATGGAAAGAAAAATTTAGTATGTGCAAACTTACATCGCTTTTGGCGTATGCGTGGTATCTCGCTATTGGAACCAATTGGTGATATGGCTCAAAATCGTTCTCAGTGGCTAGCGCACATACATCCCTTCCTCGTGACTTATAATTTCCAATGAAACTATATTGTCCTTCGTTACTACTATTCTTTTTGTCTCATATCCCTGACTACTGTCTCTTTTTTGCATTTCTTGTACTTTCTTCTGTTGGTTTGTGTGCTACAAGGAGGGAGTATGGCGACTTGAACTGCTGCACATCGGTACAAAGTTCTATGTCGAAAATAGATAGACAGACAGACGGCTATTGATAAAAGGATGTGTGTACTAGACAACGGTTCTCTCTATTGTTCTTTATGGCTTTGAAATGTAACCGTTGAACGAGACAAACTTGAATAGGCTTCCTGTTTTTGATCACAAACGTTTAAATCTTCTCTCTCTCTCATGTCAAGTGGTATTATATGGCGTGTAACATCGAGGTTTGGGCGTAGTGTTTGGTTAGGAGGGCAAGTAAGTCTGTCAAAGAGGCTATGAAGCTACACTGGTGGGGGCAAGCGCCACGCATGTCGAGAAATGTTAACCAAAATGAGATTAGGTTGGAAAAGTGTAAAAGATGAACAGATTGAAACCTGGATTGAATCCGTGAATTCTTTGATAGTTGAACTGAACGACATAGGAATTTGTAAACTACCTGGACCTCGAGGTATCAATCACCATTGTCTGGGAATTGTTATTTATATGGCTTAAAGTTGTTTTCAATGGCGCACACTCATCCACCCCTTATTAACTCCCTAGATCAATAAAAAAGATTCCATTATTCTCCACTTGTTCTCTCATTGTATTTCCTTTGGATTTTTTTCGGTTACCTTTTTATGCTATATGATGTGGCAAACTAAACTCGTGGATTTTTCTATCTAATATTCTACTTGGAAAACTCAGTCACAAAAGAAAACACTCCCAGTGGATTCTTGTGACCAGAAACTTTCGTGTCTAAATGCTAACCTGAATGTTCAGTTCAATTTCTTGAGGCAGAATTCTCAGTGTGTAAACATTTGTCATTCCAGCGAGTCGAAAAGGAAGTTAAACCAGTCCTTAATAAGATTCAGTACCTTTTCAGCATATTTCTACTGAAACGAATAGCTGTCGCAGTAATAGAGAAATGTGGTTTCTTCTACTGCAATCGTTTCTAATGAACTTTTAGTTGCTTGCACTTAATGCATGTGTTTTTTAGACAAAATTTTGTTCAATGTGCCTAATTTGACAGTCGTTGCATAGTCATTTTGTTTAGTTTTCGTAGTCACTCGACAGCAGTTATCTTAATAATATTTCGAAATTGTTGCATTTGGATGAACATTGCACTTGAGTCGTTTTGTCACTTTGGTGCTTATGTCATTGTACTCTGCCATTCAATTGAAATTCTTGTCCTCTCCACTACTAATTTCATACAGATTATGTAGTCGTCATTAGTGAAAATTAAATATAAAGACTCGGATCTCAACAGTATTCGAACTAGAGGTATTTAGAGTATTAATTATTCTTTCCTAATGATCTATAAGACTTAACTGCTATCCCAGTCTTAATTTCGCTCTAGCTAGCGCGGATTTCATCTGATTGTCATGTGAATAAATATCACTTATTCACATGACAATCAGATGAAATCCGTGGTAGCAATATTGAGGTTAGGCGTCGAGTGCTAGGTAAGCAGGGGAAATCAATCGATGAGGCTGTGAAGCTACATCGACTGAGATGGTTAGGACATGTGTTACGTATACCTAGCAATCGCCTTCCTCGACGAGCAGCGTTAGCTGATATAGGGTCAGGCTTGAAAAGAGCTAGTGGCGATCAAACCAAAACATGGCACCAGTCAATGAAATCTAAAACAGTTAGTCTAAGACACGTAGGAAGGTGTAGACTTCCTGACTGGTTGGGATCCTCGCGACGGTAAAAACCAATTGTTGGAAACAATTGGTGACATGGCTCAAAGTCATTCTCAATGGCGCAGATTCATCCACTCATTGTGACTTATGATTTCCAATGAAACTGTTTTGTTCTTCGTTATTACTATTCCTTTGTCTCACACCTCTGTTTACTGTCTCTATTATGCATTTCTTCTCTTGCTTAGTGTGCTACATGGAGTGTGGCGACTTGAACTGCCGCACATTTGTGCAAAGTTCTATGTCAAAAACAGACAGACAGAATAAGTGATATTTATGTCTCAGTTCTACATCCATCCTGTTAGCTGCTAAGCTAGGTTTTCTGATTTCACTGATAGGTAAGACTGAACTAGGAAAGGTAGAGAAATCAAGCAATTTCAATGTTGCTGTCCGACTACTAACCGTTACCTTTGATATCAGTGTTAATTTGTAAATCTAAGAATATTTTATAATTCTGAGTTTTATATTTCAGACACAATTCGGTTGTCATATCACCTTAAAGTTTCAAGCAAAAACAATGAAATTTAACTTAACTACCTGGTATCTAAATAGACGAATACTTTTGTTCATCGTGATTACGTGCAACTTAGGAGCGCCGGTGGCTTAGCGGTAGAATGCTCGCCAACCACGCATGTGGTCTGAGTTCCGATCCCCCGGTCGACGCACACTCCTTTACCTCGCTAAGCCGGTAACAAGATCGGTAAAGAGGTAAGGTTGGGCATGGGGTTAGCAACGCCACCCCGTAAAAGAAACACCACTGCTACCTAAACTTCAAAGCCCTAGTTTGAAGCCCTATGATCCACTGGGATCGTGAAGGAATAAAATAATACTTCTAACTTAAGCAAATATACGTAAAAATGCATAAATTTGTTTCGATTCGACAGTATATGCATTCCGTCTAAGAAATGAAATAAGTATGCGTTTTATTTGTGGAAAATGTTTACGTAATCTCAAGTGGTATGTGTATGTGTGTATGCAACTGTACAGCAGGTCGAGATATATCGATTGCAGCATGAAACTTTGATAGAAAAAACTGGTCAATTAAATATTGTGAAAAATTGTGTGAAGATCATCTATCCAGCACTAAATATTCTCTCATTTATTGTAATTTTTCATGATAAATTGAAGGCGACACACTTTTTGCAAGTGTATAATGTTACTACGGATTTTGATTTTACCTGTCTGTATACACACACTTCAAAAAGGACATTTAAGGCTAAATGTGACTTGATGTTTATACTATTTTCAATTTTACTATTCAATATCTAACTCATTAATCTTATCTTTTCCCGTCTCTTTTATATACATAGTTTAGCTGCTTGCATTTTAAATCGCAATATTTTCTCTTTGGGTTCACGGTTCAACTTATGTCTGACACCGGAGAAACATGCATTGTTTAATTTGAAGTCGTTGTTTGATCATTTTCAAAATAGTAAGTAAGTTGTTCCAGTTATACCTTGAATATATTTCTAAAAGTTTAATCGACACTGATTTTTGTAATATTAGTTAGTATAAAGTGAATTTATACATAAATTAACTGACTTTCAATAAAATATTATTACCAGATGACAAGGTTTGTATACACTTCTTGTTGCACACATACGCGTGTGTTTCAAAATGGTTGAATCTGTCTACAAGCAAAACTTTCGTACTTTTAATTTACGTAATCACAATTCCCTATATATCATACAAGATACCATACACCGTCTAACTTGGCTCTGGCCTACTATTGCACGAATAGTATACTGGGCATGTTTTGCGACACTGTCTAACCTAACTTTCCCAGTAGTTTATATTTGTCAATAACTAATTATCAAGACCAAAAGTTATGGAAACTCGATATACCCATTCATCATATTGTAAAATGGGCAAAAAGGCTTACAATTAAATAGTCATATGTTTTCAACAAGCGATCTAATGCCTCATTATCGACCACCGGTTCTATACACAAAGTTGCCCGGAGTTCTGATGAAAAGTTTTAACCAGCAGGGTCGACCAAGTCAGATAGGGGAATAGTTACCCGCCTATGCAGTCGGCTGACGGTTGCGCTGTGTATATATCGCAAATTGACACAAGTCAGGATTCATGGTCATTTGATCAGGTCCCAGTGACTGAATTGTCTACGAGGTTGCCTCTTAACCGGCAGTCCCCGGGTTTGAACCACGGTGGGTACTTAATGGTGACGAGTTCAAAACTAGGGCTTCAACAACACATCCCCACTTTTGTCCTATTTTCTGCTATCCTCTTTAGCTTGGTCCTCCATTGCCCATCATATCTCATCTCCAACTCACACAATCTCCTCCGTGTCACCCTCGGATGATCCACTTGTCGCCTCCCATTCTGATTTCACTAGACCGACGGCCTGGCTCACGATGTCACTCGACGGCCTTGACACACTTGACATTTGTGTTGTAAATCCGAATCTTGCTGTTTATGCTGGCTGAGTTCAGAAGATTTCCAAACTAGTTTCAGGTTGGTGAAGGTGTATCACGCCTTTCCATTTCTGACTGGCTTTGATATCCTCATCCGTTTCGGCTACGAGTGGTTGAAACTGTTCTTCCTAGATAACTGGAGGAAGTAACCTCTGTCAAATTTTTTTTTATTTTTTATTTTTGATTACAGCTTGATTCCACACTGTATTTTTGGTACAAGTATGGAATTTTCAGCGTGGATATCGGTAGCCCAAGTTTCGCAGGCCGACCATAGGTATTAGGTGTGCGTCGGCGTGGGCTCGAACCACGGACCATGTGCATAGTCGGCGAGAGTCCTAACCACTGTGCCACCGACGCACACATCTCTCCCTTTGATGGTTATTGGTGCTCCGTCTTCTCTGTGTTCACCTGGAGTCCTGTCTTCTCTCCTAACCTCCTCAGCCAGTTTGTTGGTTATATATATCGTTAAAAAGGGCAAGGTAGAAGCTAATCATTCCACTCTGTAGAGTTGGAAATTGCAGCCCCTCGATGTCTTTCTTTTTCTAAATTTTATTCTTTACTCATCTCTATTTTTAGTTAGAAAAAATTAACTACAGGTTTGTAGTCTGTGTAATAAACTTATAATAAACTAAAATGTCTTTTTTCCATATCACTTTTAGATTTGCTGGCTAAAATCTATCAATATGAAATATCTGGTTTTGTATGACTATGATTTCCTTCTGAAACTAAAGATAATTTTTACCAAAAAAAGCTCATAAAACTTTGATGAATTAAAAACAAAAGAATCGTTATATTTTGATTATTGGGTTATAAAAATCTATTTTGCTGCTTACTTGAACGATCTCTGAATGATTTTGTTTTATTTCATAACTTCACCCACATCTAAACGCAGGATGAAAGTGTAATTTGAACAATTTTGTATTGTTTTATCAAATGAATTTGTTATATATTGTATTCTCGACAAGCTAAGCCTTTTCATTGTTATTTCTCAACAAACCTCCACTGCGTGGATGATAGAATGTGGTTACGCTGTTAAAGTATGTTAGTGACGCTTTTTACATAACGCTATTTGATTTGATACCCGTGTGAAATATTGAAAGAAAAAAAGCCAACTGGTTATGAAAAAGTGGGAATTCAATTCACATTGTGACATTATGTTTTTTTCATTCACTTGAGTTCAGGTTGGAACATCAGGCTTTAAACTTGAACTTTGAGTTTTCATTAGCGGTGGTGTTTTTACAAGGTGAGGTTGCTGGCTTAACGCATACTCTTCCTTTTTGCCAAGCTTAATACTGACTAGACTAGGTTTGTAAGTGCAATGATTGGGGATCTAATCTGAACCACGTGCGTGAATCATGAGAATGCTGCAGCTGATACACTGACGCGCTTGTGTGTCATAATGGTCTACTGTATTTTCAGTTACTTATGAGTTGGGTAAAACGCGAAATCCAGCTATAGTCTGAAATATCATTTATGACAGATTCGTAGAAACCAGCAGTCTTAAGTTTGGGATTCATATATCATATTTAAAATGCCAGACACTGTTAAATCTGAATAATAAGTCTTCGAATAAAGCTTTAACGTCTGGTAGAAGACTCTAGTTATGTCGGGAAATTAACATTTCGAGTCCGCTTACACTCTGATTAGATAACCAATTACAAAATGATTGAACCGTCTTTTTTCATCCATATTTGTAACATGTGAACTTTCACACCAACTACTGTTGGCCCTAGATTACTAATACGAGCAGTAGTTATATGGTACGAGTAGGCCTTCATCAGGATTTAGATGGACAGAATATTTACTATGTAGTATATACTAACAACACTACACATGAAATTTCTTCGTGTCTATAATTTCTAACAGTGCTGGGCAGCTAATAAGACTATTGGACGTACAGTGGAATTTAGCTGTTATACAGCAACGCTCATGTAATATTTTCATACATGTTGACATCAAATTCACACTAGAATTGTATACTGTTTAATCAAATGACTTTGGTTGTATTCACAGAAATATCAGCAATAACACGGAATCAGTTGCCCATGAACATTATTCGAAAGAAAAAATATGCATTGGAGTACATCAATGAAATGAACAAAAAGCATCGGACTGTAGTCTTCCGCATAAGCTAGTCTGTAAAATAAATCGACATTCAGGAAATCACTATACAAAGCTGATGATTAGATGTGTCAGGTTTCTCAACTAAACTATTAAGAGCACTTATAATTTAAACCTACAAATATAATTTACCTTAAATTGCATATGAAAGGCAAGCAAAATACAGTTAACGATATCGACTGTGGGAAACGCTCCTGCAGGCAAAGTTGTCATCTCATCTGGTATACTCTGCATTAGCATTTCGGAAGCTGGTTTGTCTGCGGAACAAACCAAGAGTGAAACCCCAACACATTATAAATCAACCTGTGTGGTTAGGAGACATTAGGAATTGGTAGTATGACTGAATTTTGTTATGAAATGTTTGATTTAAGGTGTAAAATGAATTAGTAAATTAGCACAGTAATCATTCCTTGTGAGATAAATCACTATCACTGAAACAACGTACGATCTCTTCGCGCACACTTTGTTTTTTTGAAACCAAAAACTGTGACTTACATGAGAAACACTTCCTGCTGATTACCATATTTAAGTAGTGAACATATTTTTCAAACACATAAATTCCGTTCTGCATAATTTTTTCCTGGGAAGGTATTTGAGTAAATCATTCGTATATAATGGGGTATACCCGCCAGCATAGTAATTTCACTTTAGTGAGATATTTAATTTCAGTCTATCTCTAATGGACTTACAAAAACTTCGAGTTAAATTTTCAATATAAAAGCTATTTGGATGTGAAGAAGCTGTTGCTGCCTGACTGATCATTTGAGGAAATGCACTGCCTCATTTTCAGTTGTCTAAACGCTTGTGAGAAGTGTAGATGACCAAATGCCTGGAATCGAAGTACCGTCATATTCACCCCGATCGCATGACCGCGATGATTATGTACCACGTACAATTATTAACCGTAAAATCTTCCCCTGTTGCAGTGTAGTACCTAAAAGAAGTAACTTTTGAAATTTGCTTGTCAGGATACCACTGCTATAGCAACTGTTGTTGATTTACTGTCTGAACTGCTCATTAATACAGAAATCACAATCCTTTTACTTGCTGTGTAATCGTGAAATACAGGCTCTTGCTATCGTTAAGTATAGAACATGATAATAATAAAAAAACTCCTATCCTGATATTAAGTAATTATAAAGTAACCGCTAATAATATAGACGGATAGGATGACACATTGTTCATAATCTAACAAAATCACGTGGAACCTTGAACAGCTACATAGCATTCAAGAAAATACAACCAAGGGATAGCCTGAGGCTTACTCATTAATCGTGTCAATACTCGCTCACATCACAACTGTACTACACAGTGTACGACGATATTCATAGTGGTGTACTATCCTCTAAAAATATAAACGGCTGTATCAACAACTTTAAAGAAATACCTATTCTTTCATAAATTTCCAGACAGTTCATCTAGCACTTCGTACAATCTGTCATGAACCATTGGATTATAAGCTTGAGTACCAACAGAAGTTCTAATTCTGTGGAACTTTACACAGCGATAATAATAGATTTCGAGTCACACTATAGTGAGCACGTGAGTCCCAGGCTAGAATCTTGTTTCATCTACTTCATCCTGAACAACTTATTAGTATCAGCCGTCGCATAATAACAGAGATACAAAGCCTGGTGTATAATAATTGTTATGAAACTGGAGAATGAGCTTTAAAATCCTTTAATGTTAATCATTTACAACCCTTTAGCTGACTACCATCTCGTGTTCGCCGGACACAGTAAACGGTCTTAAGTTTTTAATGTATTTACCTAATTACATCTCACATCTAGAAGGAACATGCGCTTTCGCAACAGAACAATGTTAGCAAGACATCCAGAAACAAAGCTGAAAATATACATCCTCCAGCTCCAGATAAAACACTTTACTGCTTAAAATGATGTACAGGTTTTGAAAATCTGGATCTGTCCAAAAATAAATCTCTGCTCATAGTATAGTGGCACAAGAAGACTACTTCATGAGCTGTCTAATAAAATCAATAGCAAGAAAGCCACAATGAAGACACTGGATCCCTAATACCTTTGGAGAAATTTCAATGCTTTTCATTGGTTATAAATAAAACTGCTAGCCATATATACTATTTTAATCTAGGTGTGCTGAGGTACTACATAAACGTCAAGTATAAAGAGGATGTGAAAGTTTCCGTTTGGAACTTTTGTAACACGTGTAGTAAATAAAAAAAGTGAACAGGAAAACCACATTCATGTTTATTGTAGATTCACATTGTTAGTATAGCAGAAGTAACAACTATCATATTTTGTTTCTCATGGATACAAGTAAGCTAAATCAACAGAATTTCACAATCAGCTGCACACAAAACTGATTTCATCAAATGACAATCAACGGGGGTTTGAGATTGCCATCGTCATAAGGAGAAAATCTGTATGTTAGCTCGGAATGTTCCACGATCACTTTCTTTCCAAAAGCTCCAGAATATCAGCTTTGATATCCTTTAAGAATTAATAAATATTGTCATTATTATGAGAAATATTAATAAAAAAAAAACATTAAGTGCTTCGAGAATAATAGTTCAGTTTACAGCTTAGCGTCGATGTTCACCATTTTAAAAGAAAAAAAACATTATATTCAGAATTTCGACGAATGATTTAGGCCCTGACAGCAAGAACACAACCACGGATTTGTAGCATACTGAAGAACCCAGCCTGGCAATATACATGCCTCCACACACCTCAAAATTGTCAATGACTTCATGTATTTAGGACTCATATGCTTGAGGTAGATTGTTCGTATGTCAGCCAACAAGTCACACGTATTGTGTGAGGAAAGTTGATACTGCTTAGTTACCAACGTTGGAGGTGGAGAGGCGTCCAGTCCTTTTTCATTTGACATCGTCCAGCAGCAATAACAGGTCTCAGTATTCTCAATAAATAAAGCTAATAACTACATCGGCTGACTTCAGTGTGCGTGCCAGAGTACGCCGACAACTCAATCCTGACGACAGCTCTCTGCCTTTAATATCATACAATATCCTCCTTGAGACTGCTTCCATAAACAGACGCTAATAAACCAAATCTATCAAGATATATAGGGAGTGCTGAACACCCATAAATGCGTGTTTCAATGTCTGTCTGTTTGTTTTAGGTATAGTAACAGTAAATTTTACAGAATCTTCGCATGACTGGAGTTACATGCATGTGTCATTAATATAGGAAAATTTATCCTCCTACTTGTAAGCTGTAATGGTCAAAGATGTACTTAGGTCAGATGGAATTATTTCGGATTTCTATACACAAACTAGTCCCTTAGGTAAGCTTGTCTACAATTTCTGGCCACCACCTGATCGAATTATAGATGGAGAGCTTAGTTCAAATGTGCAGAATCTCAAGTTGCTAAACTTTAAAGGAAGGTTCAAAAGAAAATGAATGTATCTCCCGATACCCATATGCTGAATTTTAGAGACTCACTATTTAGGTCAAGTGCTGTCATATATACGTGTCAGTGATTACATATAGGTATTGCGACCTACAACTCTTAAACTTGTCCTACGTAGTTACGCAATGATTTTCTACTCCCCAGATATATGAGATGTGAATAGATCAACAGCTTTCCACATTAATTAGTTAATTTGGACTAACACCTTGACACCTCATATGCATAGATGATAGATTATAAGTCTACGAACTTACATTTGGAGCAGTTGTAGGAGAGTATCTTTTAACTGGTTGACCTTCACGATCTACAAGAAATTTGGAGAAGTTCCACTTAATAGCACTGAAGGAATGAATTATTTGATATAGTTACCTTATAAGAGTACCTCCAAGTCTATGTTTCAGAAATTTGTACAGAGGATGAGCATCTGACCCATTAACGTTAATCTTCGCGAACATATCAAACTGAACACCATAATTTTCAGTCACAAACTTTTTAATTTCAGCTTCAGGCCACGGTTCCTACAAGTGTTTTTAAGTACAGTAACAACATACTTGACCGCCAAATTGATTACAAGGGAAAGCTAGTATACGTAGACCTTTGCCAACCAGTTGAGTGTGCATCTCCTGAAGTTGGCGATAATTTTTGTCGGTCGCACCTCACTTGCAAGCCACGTTGACTATGAGACATACGTGACCACTGCGTGTTAACATAATATCTTTGTTTATATTTCAACATACCGGTATTTTTCCAAAGGTACTTCAACTCCATCAATATTCTTGGCGGAGAAACTATATATCGAATTATTGGAACTAGATGAAGACTGAGTACATTTGATAGCAATTAGATAGTCTTACCATTAATGAACAGCCGATAGTGAAACTAAGATTGAAGTATTGCCACACACGAGATTATGGTGAAGACTCAACCTTACCAAGTACTTTTATAAAAGAAGAGATCCTTCTAGGTGTTCAATGTTGTCGTACGTTCTTCTTACCAGCCCATGCAGGAGAAACTGACTTCTTTAAATCACCTTTTATTTATGAGAATCCCATAAGTAAAGTCAGACCCAACACATATTAGACAAAGGCTTGTGTGTGGTACCCACAGATAAAATGGAGTGTCAAAATAATGGTAACTCTAACAGTAGTATCCAATATCGCTTTTACGAGCTAGTATAAACTAGTTTGATTTCTTTGTGCTCGCCTCTTGATTGTAAAGCATAGGTTCCTGATCTTCGGTAAACTTCTGCGTAGCTTGTCCCGCCACTCGACTGTCGTAGGTTTGGTTGACTTCCAAAACAGCAGTGCTGGGATTAATTATATGTGGTTTGTAGTGTAGTGCACATTGTACCTTTGAACTTTTGTTTAAACTCGCTCACCCACGGTGATACACTTTTTATCTTTTGAGTTGTGAGTCTTCCGTACGTTCATTGGTTCGCTCTCTTGTTGTGCTCTCTTTCTGCACACTCTCCGAGCCTACCTCCAGCAACGTCTGCAGCTAAGTTGTACAGTCACTTTATTTATTAAATCTGTTATTCAGTTACGTTAAATACAACTCATACTAAGAATTCTTTCCATTGTTAGCTTTTAAACTTTGATTGAGTTAATCAGTACTTACACGTTAGGTAGAGTACTGGTAAAGTCATAAGACGGTGAAGTTTTTAGTAAGTGTGGTGATATCGAGGACTATCTTAAGTCTAGCCTCAACACTTACAAGTGGTGAGCCCGTTTTCACCGTTTTCCGCCATAGTAGCTTAACGTGTTAACAATTCTTTTTACGTACCGTCTATTTTGTTATTTTTTTTCTTTCACGCACGGTTATAAAGATTTGATTTGTTTTCTTTGTACTTATATTGGTTTTTTATCACCTTGTTAATATTTTGTCTTGTGTGCAAGATGGCTGACAACGGTTCTGCGTCAGAGATGGCTATAACGCTGCAACTCCCCGCCTTCTGGACACATCGTCCAGCTGCATGGTTTAATCATATAGAGGCTCAGTTTGCCATTAGACACATACACTCACAAGAGACCAAAGTAAACCACGTGATTGTGAGCCTACCTGAAAGTGTCATAGACGAGGTGGCTGACGTTCTCGCAGATCCGTCTCCGGATCGGTACGAGCGGCTCAAACAGGCGTTAATTCAACGAGTCGCACTTACTGACCAACAGAAAGTGCAGGAACTTTTCCGAGATGTTCAGTTAGGTGACCGCAAGCCCTCACAAATGTTGAGGCAGATGAAGCAGCTAGTGGCGGACTTTAAAATTGACGAGGTTTTTCTCAAACAACTTTGGCTTCAAAGATTACCTCAGGCAGTCCAGGGTATCTTAGCACCGATCTACAAGTACCCCTTACAGGAGATAGCCGAGGCAGCTGATAGAGCCGTAGAGGCCATCAATCCTAAAATTGGCATTTCCGCAACAGTAACTGCTGCTCCCGCTCAGACTAAAGATTCGTCTGACGGGGGGTCATCAAGCTTTGACGCGGTGGCCCATATAGCCAAGCTATACGAGGAGATCTGTAGTATACGACAGGAGATGAACTCCAGGAGTCGTGCACGCAGTCCCTCGAGTTCGCGTAGTAGTAGACCCTTGTCACGTGCTAGCAGCAAGCGCCGACAGTCCCGAAGTAACCAGCCTGGAGTGTGCTGGTATCATCGACGTTACGGAGCAAAAGCCCAAAAGTGCACTCGCCCGTGCACCTTCGATGTTCAACAATCGGGAAACTAGCAAGCCAGCACGTACTGGCGACTAACGTCGCTGGCGAACCGCTCTCATGTCGCCTCTTCTATGTTACCGACCGTAACACTGGGATACGCTTCCTAATTGATACCGGAGCAGAGGTCAGTGTAATCCCACCCACAGTAGAGGAGCGCAGGCGGCCAATGTCTCTTCAACTACGAGCCGCAAACGGTTCGCCAATTGCTACGTTCGGCAGGCGCTTTATAGATCTTAACATCGGTTTGCGTCGTTCACTTCGTTGGGTCTTCCTGGTGGCAGACGTTACCACAGGTATAATTGGCATGGATCTATTGCAGCACTACCAATTACTGGTAGATACAGGTAATCATAAGTTAAGAGATCCTGTCACAAACCTCTCCGTCAGCGGTATCGTCACACAAGGCCCAGCCCTCAGCCCTGTATATGCCACACCCACTAGCACTGGTCCTTATTCGCATATACTGCAGTCTTTTTCAGATTTGTTCAAACCTAGCAGCGGCCTGCCATGTGCGACTTCCAACGTCACACACCATATTGTCACTACTGGCCCGCCAGTTTTCGCAAAGCCGAGGCGACTATCCCCAGAAAAACTAAAGGTTGTCAAAGCGGAGTTTGAGCATATGCTAGAAATGGGGATTATTAGGCCATCCAGCAGCCCGTGGTCCTCACCGTTGCACCTGGTACCTAAGAATAACGGTTTAGATTGGCGTCCTTGTGGCGACTACCGCAGACTAAACGCACAAACTGTTCCCGATCGCTACCCTGTCCCTCACATACACGATTTAACCGCCTCACTCAAGGGAGCTCGAGTATTCAGCAAACTGGACCTTACACGGGCTTACTACCAGATTCCCGTCGACCCCGAGGATATACCTAAGACTGCTGTGATTACACCGTTTGGCCTGTTCGAGTTTCTTCGAATGCCTTTTGGCTTACGGAACGCTGCCCAAACCTTCCAGCGTTTTATACATGACGTTTTGCGCGGGCTTGATTTCGCCTTTGCCTATCTGGACGATATTTTGGTAGCTAGTCCAGATGAAGCCACTCATCAACTTCATTTGCAGACAGTTTTCCGAAGACTTGTGACACACTCCCTCACACTCAACTTGCCGAAGTGTCAGATTGGAGTCACTTCCCTGAATTTTTTGGGACATAGGATAGACAAAGATGGAATTTATCCGTTACCTGACCGGGTAGAAGCTATTCAAAACTTCCCTCTACCCACTTCTCCCAAGGCACTACGCACTTTTCTCGGGATGGTTAGTTACTACCGTCGCTTTATCCCACAGTGTGACCCCCTTGACTGATATGCTTAAAGGGAAATGCAAGTCTTTGGTGTTCACTAAGGAAGCCTCGACAGCTTTTGCAGCTATCAAGAAAGCTATTGCTGACGCCACAATGTTGGTCCATCTAGATGTTCAACTTCCAATCAGCATCTCCGTAGATGCCTCTAATACTGCGATCGGAGCCGTCCTACAACAGCGTATGGCTAATGTATGGCTACCGATTGCTTTCTTTTCACGTAAACTTACCGCATGCGAATCTCGATACAGCACATTCGGTAGGGAACTTCTCGCTGTCTATGCTGCTGTCAAGCATTTTCGTCACTTCGTGGAAGGCCGGCAATTTACGGTATTTACCGACCATAAGCCATTGACGTACGCCCTCCACACTACTTCAGACCGGTATTCACCGCGAGAATCACGCCATTTAGACTATATTTCCCAGTTCACTTCTGATATCCAGCACGTTTCTGGATCGGATAACGCGGTAGCAGACGCTTTGTCTCGCGTATGTGCTACGTCCGTACCACCAACCATCGATCTTCATAAAATGGCCGAACTCCAACTGAACGATTTGAACTTAGAACACCTGTCAAATAAAACCTCACTGAAGATAGAACGCGTCCCCTTGCTAAACAGTGAGGCAACTATACTTTGCGATATGTCAACTGGTACTCCTCGACCGATTGTTCCCACGTCTTTACGCCGAACTGTGTTTGAGTCACTCCACAACCTCTCCCATCCTGGCATACGAGCAACGGACAAGTTGATTTCTGCGAGATTTGCGTGGCCCGGTATGAACCGTGATGTGCGTCAATGGACACGTGCTTGTGTGCAATGCCAACGTGCTAAAGTCACCAAGCATAACATCACGCCGTTGGGGACGTTTGCGACCCCAGACGCTCGGTTCCATCATATCCACCTGGATATAGTAGGGCCCTGCCCCCGTCTAACGGCTGCTCGTATTTACTCACATGTGTGGATCGTTTCACACGTTGGCCGGAAGCCATTCCGATACAGATGTAACGGCTCAAACCGTCTGTCGTGCCTTCATGGAAGGCTGGGTTGCCCATTTTGGATGTCCCGCAACTGTCACTACCGACCGCGGACAACAATTTGAATCCACAAGCTTCAAAGAATTGTTAGAGATGCTGGGATGCAAACGCATTCGCACAACCATCCCGCGGCAAATGGCCTAGTAGAACGTTTCCACCGTCAACTCAAAGCTGCGTTGATGGCAGTGGACAACAGTAAGTGGACAGATTCGCTACCACTGGTCCTGCTTAGCATCCGGGCTACGCTTAAGGGGGATCTGCAGTGCTCGCCAGCTGAATTGGTGTACGGTACCACCATGCGTTTACCAGGCGAGCTAATCGCTCCCGAAACTTTCGAGCCAAATTTCCCGATACCACCCGTTACGCTCAGCAACTTAAAAGTTTTATGCAGCGAATCCGACCAGTTTCCACACGCACTCAGAACCGAAAGGTTCAGGTTGATCGGCGACTTGATGACTGTACACACGTTTTCGTGCGTCACGACGCCATACGAAAGCCATTACAACCACCGTATGACGGGCCTTTTAAGGTCCTTAGTCGTAAAGATAAATTTTTCGTTATTGAC